GATCCTCCTGTCTCAGCCTTCCAAAGTGCTGGGATTCTCGGTGAGCCACTGCACTAGGGTCAGCCATCTCATTGTAAGGGGAAATTTGGTCAGTCTCATGACTTCTGATTACTCTTTTATATATATTCATTCTGTGATCATTTTAAATTGCCCAACATAGCTACAAGAGGCTGGGGCAGGGGGATCACTTGAGGCCAGGAGTTCAAGATCAGCCTGGACACCATAACAAGACCCCCATCTCTACAAAAAAAATTTTTGAAGACATTAGCTGAGTGTAGTGGTGCACTCCTGTAGTCCCAGCTACTCAGGAGGCTGAGGTGGGAGGATCGATTGAGCCCAGGAGGTCGAGGCTGCAGTAAGCCATGATCACAGCACTATACTCCAGCCTGGGCAATGGAGCGAGACCCTGTCTCAGACCAAAAAAAAAAAAAAAAAAAAGGCTGCTACTTGGGTCCTTGCAGACATCCACTGTGTGACTCTCACTCCACATTAATCTTCGAGAAAAGTGATTCCCAGGTCCTTGCCCCACTTCCTCATCAGCCAAGACCTCCCCTACGCTTGGGACACCTGGTTTTAGTTTCAGAGATACCCCAGTGAGGCTTCAGGGAGAAGGAGCTGGAAGGCAGCTGAGAAAAGTGGGCTTGGGGCCAGGTGCAGTGGTTCACGCCTGTCATCCCAGCACTTTCGGAGGCTGAGGCAGGCAGATCCCCTGAGGTTAGAAGATCGAGACCAGCCTGACTAACATGGTGAAATCTCATCTCTACTAAAAATACAGCTAAAAACAGCTACTCGGGAGGCTGAGGCAGGAGTCACTTGAACTCGGGAGGCGGAGGTTACAGTGAGCCAAGATCGTGCCATTGCACTGCAGAGTGGACAATAAGAGTGAAACTCTGTCTCAAAAAAACAAAGTGGGTTTGGAGTCTCTCCCAGCCTGTGTTCCAAGAGGGAAACAGGGATGAATGGGGATCACTGCAGATGCTAGGAGGGCACATGGCATAGTCCCTGGGACAGTGAGACCCTGCCTTGACGGCCGCAGCTGCACAGCCCCAAGACACTATCCTGAGTTGTTTTTGTTTTTTGAGATGGAGACTTGCTCTGTCACCCAGGGTGGAGCAGTGGTACCATCTCGGCTCACTGCAACCTCTGCCTCCCCGGCTCAAGCAATTCTCGTGCCACAGTCTCCTGAGTAGCTGGGATTACAGGTGCCCGCCACCATACCCAGGTAATTTTTGTATTTTCTTTTCTTTTCTTTTTTTTTTTTTTTTTGAGACGGAATCTCACTCTGTCATCCAGGCTGGAGTGCAGTGGTGTGATCTCGGCTCACTGCAACCTCCGCCTCCCAGGTTCATGCTGTTCTCCTGCCTCAGCCTCCCGAATAGCTGGGACTACAGGCACCCGCCACCACGCCCGGCTAATTTTTTTGTATTTTTAGTAGAGATGGGGTTTCACCGTGTTCACCAGGATGGTCTCGATCTCCCGACCTTGTGATCCTCCTGCCTCGGCCTCCCAAAGTACTGGGATTACAGATGTGAACCACCGCGCACGGCCAATTTTTGTATTTTCAGTAGAGACGGGGTTTCATCATTTTGGCCAAGCTGGTCTCGAACTCCTGACCTCAAGTGATCTGCCCACCTCGGCTTCCCAAAGTGCTGAGATGACAGGCGTTTGCCACTGCACCTGGCCTCCTCCTGAGTTTTTGGAATAAGGGTTTCTGGGAGAGTAGCTCCAGAGAGCAGGAGGCCCAGTGCCCTGCACAGAGCGGGGACCACGGTCTCTGCTCTGCCTCCAAACACCCACCAGCCTCCTGGACTCTAGGTGAGCCTCCCAGGGGCTCCCCCAGCAGACTCCGGAGGCCCAGGAGATCCAGCCCGTAGCCTGGGGAAGGGGTAGGCTGAAGGTTCCCATCCCAGAGGGGTGTCCTCATCCCAGGAGGTGCTGGACGGCACTCGGCCTCCTGTTTCCTTACGTGTCCCTAGGGTAATGGGGTCAGCCTCTCCCAGGACCACCACGAACGTTTCAGGCGAGGAGGGTACAGGTGGCCACTGCCTGGACCTGCAAGAGGGCTCTCGAGACCCTGATGTGGGTGAGCGGTGACAGGAACCAGCTCCCAGAGGTTGTTCTTCCGAGGCTAGGCCCATCCCATTTTGTAACCAGTAGCGGGGCTGTCCCTGCCACCCTGGACCCAAAAGTGTGGCCCGCTGGGGCCCCTGACCCTCTCCTGGACTCCAGGTGCTGTCTCCTGTCTCCATCTCGGGTGCACATGCCAGGTCCCCTGGGTGCTGTGTGCTCCCCACTCCTTCACGCGTGGGCAGTCTCCCCATCCCTGCCCCAGCCCCCACCCTCACACCATCAGGTCAAGCCCCTGCACCCACCTGTCTGTCTGAACAAGAGCGTGGCCCTTTCCCCCCTCCCTGCAGTGACTGTGGCTTCCTGGGGACAGGAGGCGGCTGGGTGGAGATCTGGAGGCTGCTCCTCAAGCCCTGCCCTGATAGCTGTGTGTCTCCAGGGAAGTTCCTGCCCCTCTCTGGGCAGTCTTGCTTTTCCCCACCAAAGGGGTGAAAATCCTTAGAACGCGTCGAGTCTGGAGGTCAGCTACCCCGTGCCCCAGGAGGCCCCTGCCTCTGCCAGTGGATTCTGATCTTCCAGGGCTGAGACTCAAGGGGTTTAGGGTGTCCTGTCATTCCGGGGTTCCCCTGCTAGGCTCTGGAGGCCTCACTGTGAGGCCAGAGGCACTGCCTTGCCAGTCCACGGGATGACAGGGTGAGGGGCCAGGTGTGCACCTCCAGCCCCCTCCCCATCCCCAAGGCCACCACGTGGACATGGAGCTGAAAGGTCAAATGTGCTTTAATGGGGGGTGGCTCCCAGGTCCTGCCTGGGCCCCGGGGAAGTGGCGCTGGCTGGGCCTGCCGGCTGCTTGGCCTTCCCTCCCGGCTTTCCCTTCTTGGCCGTCGAGGCCTTTCTCTTGCCGGGCAGACTCGGGGCTGGGGTGTTGGCGGCAGGGGGCCCTGGGTGGGGCGGCTGCTCCTCATCGAGCGCCTTGAAGTTGAAGAAGTAGTCGACGTTGGACACGGTGTCCAGGATCTCAGCCACGCTGTAGTCGAAGGACAGCAGCTCCTCGGGCAGGCGCAGCGAGCGGATGTCATCGGCTGGGTTCCCACCACTACTGTCAGGCAAGGCCAGCCCGGGGACCTCGCACAGGGTACCCTCGGGCTCAGTGGCACCTGGCAGGCAGTCGAAGAGCTTCATGGCGTCCTCCAACAGAACCTTGTCAGGCAGTGCCAAAGCTCTGGCCGTCTCGGGGGCCTTGGCCTCGCCTGCCCCCAGCAGGGCCCCCTCCTTGGCCTCAGCCACCTTGAGCTCCCTGAGGCCTGGTGGGTACAGGGGCACCCCAGGTCGGGCCCCGCCGCCCTGTAGCTCCTTGGCGGGGAAGGCCAGGGGTTCGGGCCCAGGGAAGTGGCCGAGGTGGCCCTGGAGGTGGCTGTAGGTGTCCGGGGGCAGTGTGGGCTCTGCAGGCAGCGTGATGAGTACAGGGGGTGGCTTGTTCTCTTTAGGAGGTGGAGGGGGTGGTGGGGCCGGGCCTTCCTCGAGTGGCGGTAGGGGCAGCTCCATGAAGGCGGTGGGTCCCGCGTCCCCCACAAAGCCCAGAGCCTCTGGCCCGGGGCCCTCAGGCGGGAAGTAGGGCAAGAGGAACTGGGGGCCCCCCGGTGCCGGTTGGTAATGGGGGTATGGGGGCAGCCCCGGGGCCTTGAGGTAGGGCTGCGGCTCCAGGAGGTAGCTGCCTGGGGCAGAGGGGCCCCCCATTGGCCCCCCGCTGCTTGCCGCCAGCTTGTACAGGGCCGACTGGCCCAGGTCAGGGGTGGTCCACTCAATCCGATAGATGCGGGGGTCGAAGAAGCACCCGCATGGGGCCATCTGGAAACCTGTGGGCGGCAGGCAGGTGGCCTGAGAGCAGCCGCTGCCTGATGGGCCCAGCTCAAGCCTGGGGGCCTGTCTGGGGGATGCCACGAGAACCTTGCCATTGGGGGGCCCCTTTGGGGGACGACATAGATATTGCTTTGGGGCCCTGGCTAGGTGATGGATAACACAGAGCTCGTCTTTGGGGCTCATCTGGGGGACCTGTGTGAAGCACGGGAGCAGAGGCCATGCCTTCAGGCCCCCACCTAGGGACAGGGCAGGGGCAAGATGGGCCTGCACTCAAACCCACTCCCAGCCTCATCAAGGGTTCAGGGGAGGCCGGTACCTGCTGGAGGGGCCGGAAACACCTCTTTCTCTGGGTCTGGGGGATGGTAGAGGTTCAAGGAGCCTGTGGACAAAGGTGCCCGGGTGGGTGGGGCCCTTAGGCGGGTGGGCCCCTGAGCCCTCCCTAACAGGTGCCCCTGCCCACCCGATCGTACCCACGGCGGGAGGCGGCTCGGTGCAGGTGGGAGTGGGCTGGCTGCCCAGTGCCTCGGCCCCCTCCAGACTCTGGGGGCTGAAACCTTCCTGGGGAGCTGCAGGGGCATAGAAGGGTTTGGGGTGCTGCATGGGGCAATGGGGGGCCCAGCCCAGACAGGCCAGGAGGGTGGCAGTAGGAGCACAGGTGGCCCAACCAGAGAAGGGGCTGAGAACCCGGCGGGGTTCTGTTTGCCTGGTTACTCGGGGCAGCGGGTTCCAGCCTGCAGCCCGCCCACTGGTTGGGGTTCTGGGTGTCAGGGCCGGGCAGGGGCAGACGGCAGCAGAGACGGTCATCACCAGGGGAGGGAGGACTCTGGGCCAGGCCTTTGCCTCTTCCAGCAACACCCCCTAACAGCTTCAAGGCTGCCTCCTCCAGACAGGCTGCCCTGATCTCCACGGGCATGCAGGCTGAGGCTCCCCGGGTCCTGCACCAACTACCTTCTTGGGAGTCAAGGCCTCTCTGGGCACAAGCAGCACCCAGCTTGGGGCAGGGCCCGTGGAGGCGGCCAAGAGGTTTGGGGAAGATGGGGGCCAAGGAGGGGCTGCTTCAGGGTCACAGAAAGGCCTGGATTTTAAAAGAATAAAATTTATTGTACTCTCCTCGCCCCACGGTGCCCCTGGGAAAGCCTGCGGCTACTTGTACGCGTTGGCCTTGTGCTTCGGCAAGAAAACGAAGTTGGGGGGCACTGGTCCAAGGAGCATCTCACTGTGGGAGGGCAGGCGGAAAGCAAGGTCAGGCCCAGGGCCTGCAAAGCACCCTCCATGACCCAGGGCCCCGACTCCAGCCCTGCAACTCCAGCCCACACAGGCACCTGATGCGGATCCAGTCGGCGGCCTTCTGGCTGGCCATCAGCGTCTCCAGGTAGTCACGGCCCAGGTAGTAGGGCGGCCGCTCGTTGATCCTCTGTGGGAGCCGTTCCAGCAGCCCCACGGGCACGTACCTGCAGGCAGGCGGGCAGGCAGCAGAACAGGCTTGAGTCAGCCCTAGCCAGCCGCGGCCCATGCGCCGCCCACCCCAGCCAGCCCCAGTGCCCACCGGCACAGGAAGGACAGCCACTCGAGCAGGAAGCGTCGGGTCTTCTCCACACCCTGCGTGTCCGAGCCCCAGTGCTCCAGGCCGTAGTTGGTAAAGTCCCGCAGGATGTCCAGGCGCTCGGACGACGAGATGTCCCAGTGCCGCTGCTCCTTGATCTCCGTGAACAGCCACGGCTTGAGCAGGGCGCCACTGTGGGACAGGCGACGATCAGTGGGCCCAGCCACCAGCCTGCCTGGGATCGTGTGGCCCCTGCTTCCATGGCCTGGCCAGAGCCGGAGCCCAGACCACGAAACCTACTAAGCCTAGTAAGCCTCCCGGCTGTGTGCACACAACCTTCAAAGCCCAGGACTTTCTTTTTTTCTTTTCTTTTTTTTTTAGACAGAGTCTGGCTCTGTTGCCTAGGCTGGAGTGCAGTGATAAGATGTCGGCTCACTGTACAACCTCCATCTCCCAGATTTAAGCAATTCTGCCTCAGTCTCCCTAGTAGTTGGGATTACAGGCGTGTACTACCACACCTGGCTAATTTTTGTATTTTTAGTAGAGATGGGGTTTCACCATGCTGGCCAGGCTGGTCTTGAACTTCTGACCTCAAATGATCGGCCTGCCTCGGCCTCCCAAAGTGCTGGGATTACAGGGGTGAGCCAGCACACCTGGCCAAAGCCCAGGACTTTCAACCCACCATAATCAGATCCCATGGCAGCAGCCATTTTCAGTCCTCTCTGTCGCAACACAGCTGTGGCTCCTAACATCACTCTCTGCCCCTCCCAACTTGGGACCAACAGCCCGCCACAGAGCGGGGCGGTGGGGGGGACGGCGTGTCGGGTTCGGGGCACTGCTGCTGGGCATGAAGATGGAGCTGCATCTCTGTAACATCCCTGGGCACTCACCGGGCAATCATGATCCCGGCGACACCAGTCTGCATGGCGCGGTTGGCATCCTCAAATGACAAGATGTCCCCATTTCCTGAGAAGACAGAGGCTGGGGTCTCAGGGAGACACGGGCAGGTGGGACCCTGGGGGTCTCCCCACCAGCCCTTCAGTTTTGGCTGACCCAGTGGCCCCCATTAGGGTGGTAGGAGGGGGTCCCAGGTGGGAAGGCAAACAGCCCAGAGTGACCGGGGTGGTAGGGAGGGAGGTGGCTTCCCGGAGCACCCACCGAACAGGGGCATGGGGCTGGCGGCCTTCACGCACTCCTCGATGTACTGCCAGTCAGCTAGCTTGGTGTAGCGCTGCTCCCGAGAGCGGCCGTGGAGCTGGGGGAGAAGCCGCCACGCAGGGTAGGAGGCAGAGAGTGAGACGCAGAGAGAAAGAGACCGAGAGAGCCAGGCTGAGAGGGACAGAGAGAGACAGAGGCGGAGACAGAGGGAGGTGCGGAGGTGAACAGGGAGGGATGGGAGGAGAGGAGCCGTTAGGAAGGGACGCGGGGTCGACCCCGAGACCCTGATGCCCGAGGCGTCCCAAGACCCACCGTGACGAGTGCCACACCCCAGTCCCGCAGCTCGGGCAGCAGGCGGTGCGCCAGGTTCACACGCTCCTGGACGCCTGTGCGGATCTTCACAGTCAGTGGCACGTCCAACACCTACAGGATGGTGGGAGGTGGTGGGAGACGGTGGGATGTGGTGGGAGGTTGTGGGAGACACTGGGAGGTGGTGGGAGGTGGTGGGAGACAGTGGGAGGTGGTGGGAGGTGGTGGGAGAGAGTTTACCTGACCTCCTCCTGCTGATTCACCTGCTTTGGCCTCCCAAAATGCTGGGATTACAGGGGTGAGCCACCGCACCTGGCCTCCTTCTTTCTTCCTTCCCTCCTCCCTCCTTCCCCTCTCTCTCTCTCTTCCTTCTCTTTCTTTCTTTCTTTCTTTCTCAGAGTTTTGTTCTTGTCACCAGGCTGGTGGAGCGATCTCGGCTCACTGAAACTCTGCTCCTGGGACCGGGCCAATTCTCCTGCCTCAGCCTCCGAGTAGCCAGGATTACAGGCACCTGATGCAACGGCTAGAATTTTTGTATTTCTTAGTAGAGACGGGGTTTCACTCTGGGTTGGCCAGGCTGGTCTCAAACTCCTACCCCAGGTGATCTACCCGCCTTGGTCTCCCAAAGTGCTGGGATTACACGCGAGAGCCACCACGCCGGTCCATAACTTTTTTTTTTTCACGAAGGTCTAGAAGTCTGGATTTCTGAATCAGTGTTTGAAAAGATGGTCTCATTGATATCATCCATATGATAACTTTCAGGTCGGCGTTCCAGAAGTGACATCAGCACATTTTGTTGCTCATTGTTGCTGTTAGTAGTGAATCATAAAGTCTATACTTTGCGATTATGAAAGCAATTCTTGGAACTTTGTCTTTAGGTATGTACATTTTGTATTTTAAATTTTGTTTGGAGTGTAGTCAACATAGAGACAAGAGGGTATAGTGTTGAAGTATAAGTGCGTTCCTACTGGATGTCAGCCTAGGACGTTGCTTTGTCTTCTAATCAAAATAAAATTGCCTGGGGCCCCATCCATAGACTGGAACCTGTGTTCCTATCGTGCATTGTAGTCATAAGCCACAGAAGGTGCTTGGACTGATTGAAACAAACAAGAGGCATTGGCCAGGTGCAGCAGTCACTTCTTGTGATTCCTTGTGCACTTGGGAGTCTGCAAACAGGTTGATCATTGAGGTCAGGAGTTCGAGACCAGCGTGACCAACATGGCAAAACCCGGTCTCTACTAAAAATATAAAAATTAGCTGGGAATGGTGGTGTGTGCCTGTAATCCCAGCTTCCTCTGGAGGCCAAGGCAGGAGGATCCCTTGAGCCAAGGAGGTGGAGGTTGCAGTGAGCTGAGAATGGGCCACTGCACTCCATCCAGCCTGGATGACAGAGTGAGACTCTGCCCAAAAAAAAATTTTTGGAGAGACATCAGCGTCTGGTGATGGATTGGTGTGGAGGACCAGGAAAGCTGAGGATGACCAGTAGATGTCTGGTAACCAAGCTGGGTGATGAGTATTGTTCCTCGCACACACTTCTGCGAGGGTAGGGACGGTAGAGAAGGTGAGCTTTAGAAGAGGGGAGAAGGATGAGGACCTCTGATGCAGGAGGAAAGAATATGTGAAAAGGAAGATGAGGCAAATATTAGCTAGAAAAGAAGAGGATCGCTTGAGCCCAGGAGTTCAAGTCCACCCCAGGCAACAGAGCAGAATGCCATCTTTACAAAAAAACTAAATTTTCTTTTTCTTTTTTTTGAGAGCAGAGTCTCACTCGTCCCCCCGGGCTGGAGTACAGTGGCCCAATCTCGGCTCACTAAAACCTCCGCCTTGGGTTCAAGCTGAGCCTGCCTCAGCTTCCTGAGTAGCTGAGGTCACAGGCACCCACCACCATGCCTGGCTAATTTTTTTGTTTGTTTGTTTGTTTGTTTTGTTTTGAGACAGAGCCACTGTTGTTGCCCAGGCTGGAGGCGACGTTGATCTCAGCTCATCGCAACTGGCTCTGGTTCAAGCGATTCTCTTGCCTCACCTCCTCTCCCGAGCAGCTGGGATTACAGGCATGTGCCATCACGCCTGGCTATTTTTTTTTTTTTTTTTTGACGGAGTCTTGCTCTGTCGCTAGGCTGGAGTGCAGTGGCAATAATCTCAAAGTTCACTGCAACTTTCACCTTCTGGGTTCAAGCAATCCTCCCGTCTCCTAGCCTCCCTAGTAGCTGGGACTACAGACGCACCACCACGTCAGCTAATTTTTGTATGTTTTAGTAGAGATCGGTTCCACCATGTTGGCCAGGATGATCTTGGATCTACTGACCTCATGATCCCTGCCTTGGCTCTCTCAAAGTGCCAGGATAATTGGCGTGAGCCACCGTGCCTGGCTAATTTGTTTGGTTTTTTTTTTTTGAGATGAAGTCTCTCTGTGTCACCCAGGCTGGAGTGCAGTGGCATGATCTCAGCTCACTGCAACTTCCGCCTCCCGGGTTCACGCCATTCTCCTGCCTCAGCCTCCTACAGCTGGGACTACAGGCGCCCCACCACCACACCCGGCTACTTCTTTGCATTTTCAGTAGAGATGGAGTTTCACCATGTTAGCCAGGATGGTCTCGATCTCCTGACCTCGTGATCTGCCTGCTTCGGCCTCCCAAAGTGCTGGGATTACAGGTGTGTGAGCCACTGCACCTCGACCTAATTTTGCATTTTTAATAGAGATGGGGTTTCTCCATGTTGGCCAGGCTGGTTCTACTGACCTCAGGAGATCCACCTACCTCTGCCCCCAAAGTGCTAGGATTACAGGTGTGAACCACCGAGTCCAGCCAACTGGGGAAGTTCTGTCTCCCAGAGGACACTTGGCACGTTCTGGAGATGCTTGGCGTCAACATCAGAGTGGCTGGTGCTACTGGCATTGAGTGGGTAGATACATATAGATGCTAAAAAAAAAAAAAAAAAGACCCTACAATGTGCATATGAAACTCTGCAAGCCAGAACCATCTGCCTCTTACCCCCAGAAAAGAGGTTGAGAAACCCTGTTCTGAACTTTCTCCAGGCTGGACGCGGTGTCTTATGCCCAGTAATCCCAGTACTTTGGGAGGCTGAGGCGGGTGGATCACCCGAGGTCAGGAGTTTGAGACCAGCCTGGCCAACATGGTGAAACCCCGTCTCTACTAAAAATGCAAAAATTAGCCAGGCGTGGTGGTGGGCACCTGTAATTCCAGCTCGGGAGGCTGAGGCAGGAGAATTGTTTGAACCTGGGAGGTGGAGGTGCAGGAACCACCAATGCACTACAGCCTGGACGACAGAGGGAACTCTGTCTCAAATAAATAAGTAAATAAACTTTTCCAAACTTCAGGGAACTCATAAACATTTAAAATTATATTTTCTTCATATAAACACCCAGTTACACATGTTTCTGGTGATAATTGTTGTTAATTAAAGTTTGTTTGTGTGGAAGTATAAGTGTATAATTGTTCATTTTGCTCCCTCTTGAACCACATATAATCATGAGAAATAAAGGCTGGCGTGGTGGCTCATATACCTGTAATCTCAGCACTTTGGGAGGCTGGGGCAAGAGATTTGCTGAAACCCAGGAGTTTGAGACCAAATGGCAAACATAGAACCCCATCTCTACAAAAAAATAATTAGCCTGGTAGGATATGTGCCTGCAGTCCCAGCTACGTAGGAGGGCTGCTTGAGCCCAGGAGATCGAGGCTGCAGTGAGCCAGATTACGCCACTGCACTTCAGCCTGGGCAACAAGCACCTGTCAAAAAAAAAAAAAAAAAGACTTGGGCACGGTGGCTCATGCCTGTAGTAATCCTAGCACTTTGGGAGGTCAAGGTAGGTGGATCACCTAAGGCCAGGAGTTTGAAACCAGCCTGTCCAACATGGCAAAACCCCGTCTCTACTAAAAATACAAAAATTAGCCGGGCAGGGTGGCGCAGCCCTATAATCCCAGCTACTTGGGAGGCTGAGGCAGGAGAATCGCTTGAGCCCAGGAGGCGGAGGCTGCAGTGAGCTGAGATCGCACCATTGCACTCCAGCCTGGGTGACAAGAGGAAACTCAGTTCCCAAAAAGAAAGAAAGAAAGAAAAAGAAAAAGAAATAGGATAGTGTAAGGCTTGAGATTGGGTTCTAAGAACTTGGTCAGTGCCATTTCCTGTGGGCTCAGAGTACGGTTGGGAGATGGAAAGGTTTAGGATGTTTCAGATCCACCGGCTGACACACGGTAAATACATTCATTCCAGTAGTTGACCTTTTGAACAATGTAGAGGTCAGAGGCATCACCTCCACCCCACACCGTTGAAAATCATTGAGGCAACTTTCACTTCCCAAAACTTAATTACTGGCCAGGTGCGGTGGCTCACGCCTGTAATCCCAGCACTTTGGGAGGCTGAGGCGGCAGATCACAAGGTCAGAGTAGTTCAAGACCAGCCTGGCCAACATTAATGAAACCCTGTTCTACTAAAAATACAAAAATGGCTGGGCGTGGTGGCAGGCACCTCACCCAGCTCGCAAATTCGAGGCTAGCATGGGCAACGTGGTGAGACCTTGTCTCTATTCAGAATACAAAAAAAAAGAAAGAAAGAAAGAAAAAGAAAAATATTAGGTATGGTGGTGTCCACCTATAGTCCCAGTTACTCGGGTAGCTGAGATGGGAGGATGGCTTGAGCCTATGAGGCATGTTATAGTGAGCTGAGATCATGCCACTGTACTCAGCTGAGGCACAGAGCCAGAACTTGTCTCAAAACAAAAAATAAACCAAAACAAACTTAATTACTAATAGCCTACTATTGCTCTGGAAGCTCACATTTAATGACATAAACAGTCTATGACTGTCACCCAGGGTAGAGTGCAGTGGTGCAATCTCAGCTCATTGCAACTCTGGGCCTGCCAGGTTTCAGTGATTCTCCTGGCTCAGCCTTCCTGAGTAGCTGGGACTACAGGTACACACCACCACGCCCAGCTAATTTTTAGTAGAGATGGGGTTTCACCATGTTGGCCAGGCTGGTCTTGAACTCCTGGCCTCAAAGATCCACCTGCCCAGCCTCCCAAAGTGCTGGGATTACAAGTGTGAGCCACCATGTCTGGCTCCTACTTTTTTTTTTTTGAGATAAAGGTCTGCACTGTCTCAGGCTGGAGTGCAGTGCTGCACTATAGCTCACTGCAGTCCCGAACTCCTGGGCTCAAGGCATTCTACCACCCCAGTCTCCTGCGAGCCGGAGTTACAGGCACAGCCACCACTAGGCCTGGCTAATTTTTTTTTCTTTTTTTTTTGAAACAGAGTTTCCTCTTGTTGCCCAGGCTGGAGTGCAACGGCACGATCTTGGTTTACCGTAACCTCCACCTCCTGGGTTCAAGTGATTCTCCTGCCTCAGCCTCCCGAGTAGCTGAAATTACAGGCATGCACCACCATGCCCGGCTAATTTTTGTATTTTTAGTAGAGACACAGTTTCTCTATGTTAGTCAATCTGGTCTCGAACTCTCGACCTCCCGGTCCATCTTGGGCTCCCAAAGTTCTGGGATTACAGACTTGAGCTACCATGCCTGGCCTAACTTTGTTTTTTTGGTTTTTGGTTTTTTTTTTTTAACAAGAGATGGAGCTGGCCGGGCACGGTGGCTCACGCCTGTAATCCCAGCACTTTGGGAGGCCAAGATGGGCGGATCACGAGGTCAGGAGATCAAGACCGCGGTGAAACCCCGTCTCTACTAAAAATACAAAAATTAGCCTGTGGTGGCAGGCACCTGTAGTGCCAGCTACTCGAGGCTGAGGCAGGAGAATGGCGTGACCCGGGAGCGGAGCCTGCAGTGAGCCGAGATCACACCACTGTACTCCAGCCTGGGTGATAGAGCGAGACTCCGTCTCAAAAAAAAAAAAAAAAGAGATGGGATTATGCGGTTGGTCAGGCTGGTCCTGAACTCCTGGTGCTTGCTATCCAACTGCCTCAGCCTCTCGCAAAGTGCTGGGATTACAGGTGTGAGACACCACGCCTGGCCTAACTTTGGCATTTCTAGAGAGATGGGGTTTCATTATGTTGGCCAAGCTGGTCTGGAACTCCTGGCTCCCCAAGTGATCCGCCTGCCTCGGCCTCCTGAAGTGCTGGGATGACAGGCGTGAGCCACCGTGCCTGTTGTGTATCCACTTTTTGGCTCTCAGAGACAGCCCCAACGGATAGTCATGTCCAGACATCCAGGTTTTTGTGCGGATGTGAGTTTTCATTCCTCTGGGATAAATGTTCAGGAACGTTACTTGTTGGGCATCTTTCTTCGCTCATTCATTCTTGATAGGATGTCAGTAACTCTGGTTTTTGTATTATTTCCGTGAGATCAGATATCCCAGACTTATATATACTATTCGAATACTGGGGGATTCAGTTTTTGGAAGTATCACTATGACAGACAGGTATGTTAAATTTATAAGAATGTGAAAATAAAAATATATGTACCTTGTGATTGTAGTAATTGCTGTCAATGGGTGCATGAGGGTTTTTTCCTCTTTTAAGAGTCCAGCTGGGCCAGGGGTAGTGGCTCATGCCTGTAATCCCAGCACTTTGGAAGGCTGAGGTGGGAGGATAGCTGAGCCCAGAGTCTGAGACTAGCCTGGGCAACATGGCAAGACCCCATCTCTACAAAAATAAAAATAAAAAATATTTAAAAATTAGGGCCGGGAGCAGTGGCTCACGCCTGTAATCCCAGCACTTTGGGAAGCAAGGCGTGGCGGATCACGAGGTCGGGAGATCAGATCATCCTGGCTAACACAGTGAAACCTCACATCTACTAAAAATACATAAAAAATTAGCCGGGCGTGGTGGCGGGAGCCTGTAGTCCCAGCTACTCGGGAGGCTGAGGCAGGAGAATGGCGTGAACCCGGGAGGCGGAGGTTGCAGCGAGCTGAGATTGCCCACTGTGAACCTTCAGCCTGGGTAACAAGAGCTAAATACTATCTCAAAAAATAAAATATAAAATGAAATGAAATGAAATGAAATAAAATCTAGCCGGGCTTCTGGTGTAATTCCAAGCTCTGTAATCCTCTGCTACTCAGGAGGCTGAGGCAGGAGAATTGCTTGAACCTGGGAGGCAGAGGTTGCAGTGAGCCGAGATCGTGCCACTGCATTCCAGCCTGGGCACAGAGCGACTCCGTCTCAAAACAACAACAACAACAACAACAACAAAACCCCTCAAAAAAACAAACACAACAAAACAAAACAAACTCTATGCCCAGCTGGGTAGGGTGCAGTGGCTCACACCTATAATCCCAGGCACTTTGGGAGGCTGAAGGGGTGGATCGCTTGAGTCCAGGAGTTAAATACCAGCCTGGGCAACATAGTGAAACCTTGTCTCTACCAAAAATACAAAAATTAGCCGGGCAAGGTGGTGCATGCCTGTAGTCCCAGTTACTTGGGAGGCTGAGGCAGGAGACTGTTTGAGCCTGGGATGGAGGTTACAGTGACTCCGAGATAAGCACCCATTGCACTCCAGCCTGGAGATGACAGAGTGAGACCTGTCTTTAAAAACAAAAAGCTAGTGCCTTGTGCAAAGGCAACATACTAATTACACACACCCACATGCCCACCTGAAGACTCAGCCACCAACTTCTCACCATGCCCACTTTACAGATGAGAAAACTGTAGTGGGTTGAACCAGTGTCCCCAAAATTTATGTCAACCTGGAACTTCAGAATTTAACGTTGTCTTTGCATTTTTGCTGCTGTAACAAAATATCTGAGATCGAGTAATTTATAAAGTACAGAGGTTTATTTGTCATGGTTGTGGAGTGCTGGGAAGTTCAAGATCATGGGTGCTGTGCAGGGTTGCTGTCTGGTGAGGCTGCACTCTGCTCCCAAGATGGTGCCTATGCTGGGGGGGTCCTCTGGAGGGCCAAAAGCCACATCCTCACACAGCAGAAGGCAGAAGAACCAACAAACTGTGCTGCCTTCAACCCAGAGCTCTTTATAAGGGATGCTCATCCCAAAGACCATGCCTGTTTATAATAAAGGGGATTTCAGCATGAATTTTGGAGGGGACACCATTATTCCAAACCACCGCAGTAAACTGACTTGGGAGGTAGGGTCTTTGCAGATATAATAGTTAAGCCAGGATGTAGTCACATTAAATCAGGTGGCCTTCTAATCAAATGACCGCTGTCCAGGCGAGGTGGCTCAGCTGATCCCAGCACTTTGGGAGGCTGAGGGGGCGGATCACTTGAGGTCAGCAGTTCAAGACCAGCCTGGCCAACATGGTGAAACCCCATCTCTACTGAAAATTGAAAATTAGGGGCTGGATGGTGGCGGCGCATGCCTGTAATCCCAGCTACTCGGGAGGCTAAGGCAGGAGGATCACTTGAACTTAGGAGGTGAAGGTTGCAGTGAGCCCCAGATCATGCCACTGCATTCCAGCCTGGGTGACAGAGTGAAACTCTGTCTCAAGAAAAAAGAAAAGAACAAACAACACAAAAAGAACACCTAGCATCACTAAATCCCCAATTATTACTAAAATAGCCTCTTTGTGTGTGTGTAGAATAAGGTGTGTACACACGTGTGTGTGCGTGCATGTATGTTTGTGTGTATCTGTGTGTACCTGCAGGTATGCTTGTGCGTGTGGTGGTGAAGTTGTTTTTATCATGGACATTTCAAGAGGAGAGGTTACTCTAGAGAATAGTTGAGCTCAGCATTGCTATAGCCAGGACAAGAGTCAACCCCTATTGCTATCAATTGTGTATATTGATGGCTGGATACAGTGACTACTTCCCTGTAATCCCAGCACTTTGGGAGGCCGAGGACGGAGGATCACTCGAGCTCAGGAGTTCAAGACCAGCGTGGGGAACATAGTGAGACCCTCCCCCATCTCTTACAAAAATTGAAAAGAAATTAGCTGGGCATAGTGGCAGGTACCTGTGATCCCAGCTTACTCAGGGGCTGAGGATTTCGCCGAGCCTGGGAGAGACTGAGGCTACAGTGGGGTATGATCACGCCACTGCACTCTAGCCTGGGGGACAGAGAGAGACCCTGTTGCAAAAAAAAAAAAAAAAAAAAAAGAAAGAAGAAAGAAAGAAAAAGAAAGAAAAGAAACTGGCTGGAGTGATGGAGCAAGACTCAGAGTCCCTTCCAGGGCCAGATGGATCTCATAATTCCTGATGGGATAGGTGGAGGGAGGGTCTCGAAGGTGGGTAGAATATTAGATCTCCAAAGCTGTCCACATCCTGATTCCTGGAACCTGTGAATATGGTTCCTGACATAGCAAAAGGAACTTTGTGGATGTGGATTAAATTAAGGGATCTTGAGGCCAGGCTCAATGGCTCACACCTGTAATCCCAGCACTTTGGGAAGCTGAGGCGGGTGGATCACGAGGTCAAGAGTTCAAGACCAGCCTGGCCAAGATAGTGAAACCTACTTACTAAAAATACAGAAAATTAGCTGGGCGTGGTGGCGGGTACCTGTAATCCCAGCTACTCGGGAGGCTGAGGCAGGAGAATGGCTTGAACCTGGGAGGTGGAGGTTGCAGTGAGCCGAGGTCACGCCATTGCACCAGCCTGGCAACAAGAGTGTAACTGTGTCTCAAAACAATCAAGGCCACGCGCTGTGGTTGATGGTTGTAATCCCAGCACTTTGGGAGGCCAAGGTGGGCGGATCGAGGAGTTCGAGACCAGGCCTGGGCCAACATGGCACCTGTTTCTACTAAAATACAAAAATTAGCCAAATGTGGTGGCAGGTGCCTGTAGTTCCAGCTACTGGAGGGGGAGGCTGGAGGATCGCCCGAACCTGGCAGACAGAGGTTGCAGTGAGCGAGATCGCGCCATGCACTCCAGCCTGGGCAACAGGGTGAGGACTCCATCTCAAAAAAAAACAAAAAAAACAAAAAAAAGACAGCACTCTAGTCTCTCTCTCTTCCTTCTCTGTCTCTCTCTCTCTTTCTTTCTCTCTCTTCCCCCTCTCTCTCTCTCTCTTTCCTCTCTCTCTGTCTCTCTCTTCCCCTCTCTCTCCCTCTGTCTCTGTCTCTGCAAGATGGGGAGGTAGGCAGCTGGGCTGCTATAAAATCTGTCCCACTGTTCCTAGGTGGGGCCCTTGATTCATGTTCCAAGTCAGCAGCTAGACACTTTGCTGTCCAGCCAACCGTCAGGAATGGTGACTCCCAGGCAGGAACTGAAGACTCAGGCATTCTTCTAGCAGTCTGGTCATATCATTTTCTCCAAACACTCAAACCAAAGCTGTCTTCTTTCAAGTTTTTGACCCAAGTGTCACATTTCTTTTCTTTTCTTTTTTCTTTTTTTTTTTTTTTTTTTTGAGACAGGGTCTCACTCTGTCAGCCCAGGCTGGAGGGCAGTGGCAAATTGTGGCTCACTGCAACCTCTGCCTCCCGGGTTCAAGTGATTCTCCTGCCTCAGCCTCCTGAGTAGTTAGGATTTATAGGCAGCCACTACCACGCCTGACTAATTTTGTAGTTTTTAGTAGAGATGGGGTTTCATCATGTTACCAGGTTGGTCTCGAACTCCTGACCTCAGGTGATCCACTGCCTCGGCCTCCCAAAGTGCTGGGATTACAGGCCTGAGCTACCCGGCCTGGCCAAGTGTTGTATTTCCAGAGAGGGCATTATCTGTTTTTTTTTTTTTTTAAAAAAGACTTTCTTTATTGTAACTTATCAGATAATCTAGCAAACCAGATAAAACACATGTGTATTAAGATGGATTCATCTGAAGTATTTTCTGCTTTGTTTCGTAGGGCAGAAATCGGCTGGTCTTTCAGGGGTGGCATCTTCCACTTATTTTCTTTGTCAGGTGGGATGCTTGTAGTGGATCAAGGCAAGGTAAGTAACTTGCAGGGGAAGACCACTCAGAGGACCTTTGCCTAAGCCCAGGTTTTCATTACAACTCACACATTCTTAAACATTTATTTATTTATTTATTTTATTTTATTTTATTTATTTATTTATTTTTTGAGATGGAGTCTTGCTCTGTCACCCAGGCTGGAGTGCAGTGGCACGATCTCATCTCACTGCAAGCTCCGCCTCCCAAGTTCACGCCATTCTCCTGCCTCAGCCTCCCCGGTGGCTGGACTACAGGTGCCCGCCACCACGCCCGGCTATTTGTTTTGTATTTATAGAGACGGGAGCCTTCACGGGTTAGCCAGATGGTCTCGGACACCTGACCTCGTGATCCACTCCGCCTCGGCCTCCCAAAGTGCAAGTGCTGGGATTACAGGCGTGAGCCACGGCGCCACCAACAATATATTTTTGTTTAATCACATTTTAAAATAGTATCATTGGCCGGGCGCGGTGTGGCTCAAGCCTGTAATTCCAGCACGGAGGCCGACGGGCAGATCACGAGGTCAGGAGATTGAGACCATCCCGGCTAACATGGTGCAACCCCGCTCTCTACTAAAAATACAAGAATTACCCGGGCGAGGTGGGCGGCACCTGTAGCCCCAGCTACTTAGGAGGCTGAGGCAGGAGAATGGCGTGAACTTGGGAGGCGGAGCTTGCAGTGAGCTGAGGTCCGGCCACTGCACTCCAGCCTGGGCGACAGAGCGAGACTCCGTCTCGAAAATAAACAATAAATAAAAATAATAAAATAAAAAATAGTATCATTTCTTTTTTATTTATGAGACTGATTCTACCGTATCACCCAGGCTGGAGTGTGCAGTGGTGTCATCTGGCTCACTGCAGCCTCTGCCTCCCATGCACTCAAGTGATTCTTGTGTTTCAGCCTCCGAATAGCTGGGATTACAGGTGCCTGCCGTTACCACGGCCAGGTAATTTTTTTTTTTTTTTTTTTTTTTTTTTTTTTTTTTTTGAGACGGAGTCTCACTCTGTCTCCCAGGCTGAGTGCAGTGGCGCACCCAGGCTCACTGCAAGCTCCGGGCCTCCGGTCTGCGCCATTCTCCTGCCTCAGCCTCCGAGTAGCTGGGACTACAGGCGCCCACCACCACGCCCGGCTAATTGTGTGTGTTTTTATAGAGACGGGGTTTCACCATGTTAGCCACTATGGTCTTGATCTCTCGACCTCATGATCTGCCCACCTCGGCTTCCTAAAGTGCTGGGATTACAGGCGTGAGCCACCGCGCCCAGCTAATTTTTGTATTTTTAGTAGTGACAGGGTTTCACCATGTTGGCCAGGCTGGTATCGAATTCCTGACCTCAAGTGACCCCCCCCCACTCCCCTGCCCGCTCCCACCTTTGGCCTCCCACAGTGCTGGGATTACAGGCGCAAAGCTTCACTGCACCTGGGCCCAATAGTACCATTTCAGTATAAAATCAATATAAACAACTCATGATGATAGTTTACATTTTTCTGTACTAAAGCTTCAAATGAGGCCAGGTGCAGTGGCTCATGCCTGTAATCCTAGCACTTTGGAAGTCTGAGGCGGGCAGATCATTTGAGGTCAGGAGTTTGAAACCAACCTGGCTAACATGGTGAAACCCCATCTCTACTAAAAACACAAAAAAAATTAGCCGGGCATGGTGGCGGGCACCTGTAATCACAGCTACTTGGGAGGCTGAGGCAGAAGAATCACTTGAACCTGGGAGATGGAGGTGGCAGTGAGCCAAGATCGTGCCAGTGCACTTGCAGCCTAGCAACAGAGCCAAAATTCCATCTCAAAAATAAACAAAATAAAATAAAATAAAATAAATAAAATAAAATAAAATAAAATAAATCTTCAAAATGCATTGAGCATTTGATACTTAGAGTAATTTCTATTCAGTGCTAAATTTTCTTAATGAGTTAAACTGAAATGTGGTCAAGCAAGCAAATGGCTCTTGTAATCCCAGCACTTTGGGAGGCCCAGGAGGCGGGTGAATCACGAGGTCAGGAGATCGAGACCATCCTGGCTAACAAGGTGAAACCCCGTCTCTACTCAAAAGAATAAGCAAAAACTAGCCAGGTGAGGTGGCAGCGCCTGTAGCCCCAGCTACTCGGGAGGCTGAGGCAGCAGAATGGCGTGAACCCAGGAGGCGGAGCTTGCAGTGAGCCCAGATCGTGCCACTGTACTCCAGTCTGGGAGACAGAGCGAGACTCCGTCTCAAAAAAAAAAACCACTGAAATGTAACCCTATCAAAATAATAAAGTTGTATTTAATAAAAATAAAAAAAGAAAGGCAGATTTGTGGCTTCTTTTGTTTTCTTTGTTGTCCCCTGCACCGGCCAGCCGGACTTCTCTTCCCTCATTGGGACTCAGTGACTCCACAGTAGGGTCTGTAGAGGCTGAAAGCTGCCTTTTTCTCCCAGGGCATGTTCAAGTACTCAGACTCACCCTCAACCGGAGCTGGGGCTGTCTTTGACTATAATCGACTCGACATCACACGCCCGGCCAGAAAGGCATCCTGCTCCTGTGGCTGGAGAATATTTCTGTTGCTTTCCAGATAATGCAGGTGGGAGCCCAGGGCCCAGGGCGGGGCTAAGGGCCCAGTGGCCTCTCCAGAGGGGCCGGGTAAGGCCTGGCTAAAGGAGGAAGGAGCGACCCTCCACCACTCGATTTTTTCTCTTCCGTGTTCCGAGTGGACCAGAAGCCCATAATCACTCAGTGGATCTCTGTGCCCTGCCAGCTTCCTGGCTGCAGGATACTTAGGCTGGGTAGACGGTGACAACTGAAATAAGTGATGGTGACAAGAGTCTCCATCATGGAGGTTTATTCTACAGCTTTAGCTGACCCAGAAAACCGCCAGTCAGATAACTTGAGCTGCTTTTCCAGAGTTTCAGGAGGCTTCAGATTTAACATTTCTTTTCTTTTTTGAGATGAGTCTGCCTGTCACAGGCTGGAGTGAGGGCGCAATCTCGGCTCACTGCAAGCTCCGCCTCCCGGGTTCACCATTCTCCTGCCTCAGCCTCCCTAGTAGCTGGGACTACAGGCGCCACCACGCCCGGCGAATTTTTTTTTGTATTTTTATTTTGTATTTTTAGTAGAGACGGGGTTTCACCATGTTAGCCAGATGGAGCCTGCACCTCCTGACCTCGTGATCTGCCCGCCCTTGGCCTCCCAAAGTGCTGGGATTACAGGCGTGAGCCACCGCGCCTGACTACAGGTGCGCCACCGTGCAACCAACTTATTTTCTTTTTTGTGGAGACGGGGTTTCACCTTGTTGCCTCAGCTGGTCCCAAACTCCTGGGCTCTGGCTGATCTCAGCCTCTACTTCCCAAAGAGCTGGGATTACAGATGAGAGCCATCTAGCCCGATCTGTTTTATTCCTTATAGTGGTCACCTGTATTAGAAGACATTCCGTTGTGTTCACGCCACTTGGCTGACAAAAACTCCAACAGCCCCTCCTCTGAGCTTGCTGGATGTAGAGACGACTAATGGGAGTCGGATTTTCTTTTCTTTTTCTTTCTTTCTTTTTTGTTTTTGAGATGGAGTCTGGCTCTGTCACCCAGGCTGGAGTGCAGTGGCGCTGTCTGCTCACTGCAACCTCCACCTTCTGGGTTCGAGCGATTCTCCTGCCTCAGTCTCCAAGTAGCTGGATTATTGGTGCGTGCCACCATGCTCGGTTAATTTTTGTATTTTTAGTAGAGACAAGGTTTTGCCACGTTGGCCAGGCTGATCTCGAACTCCCCGACGCCAAGTGATCTGCCCATCTCAGCCCCCCAAAGTACTGGGATTATAGGCATGCACCCCTACGCCTGGCAGAAGGTTTGGGTTTTCTTAAACCAAAGCACATTCCTTGTCATGCTTAACAAAATTGTGTTTCAGTGCTGTGTTTTCCTTGATTCATTCTCCTTTGAATAGCGAACCTCTCAAAAGCTATAAGGAACATTGAAGAGCCACTGGCCGGGTGGGCTGGGTGGTGGCACGGGTAGCTGGGGTCCCAGTAGCAGATGATCCCCTTTCCCATGATGCACACCGGGGCCTCATGCACCTGTCCTGTTACCTCCTAGGGTCAGCTCGCCGACACTGAACTGGGTAAAAAGGAGAATAGACCTTGTTTACTTCCATTTTTGAAGCCCAGATCACTATCCACAACATTGCTGTCAGTGCGTACTTGACCCACTGGTAGCCTAGAGATATTTAGACCTGGCTTATTAACCATAGGCCTGCCAGACGCAACCCAGCCAAAACATGAAATCAGCCAGGCGCGGTGGCTCATGCCTGTAATCCCAGCACTTTGGGAGGTCGAGGCGGGCAGATCACCTGAGGTCAGGAGTTCGAGACCAGCCTGGCCAACATGATAAACCCGCCTCCCCCAACTAAAAAAATACAAGAATAAGCCAGGTGCGTGGCGGAGGACTGTAATCCCAGCTACTTAGGAGGCCGAGGAAGGAAGAATCGTTGAACCCAGGAGGTGAAGGTTGCAGTGAGTAGATCGCACCATTGCACTCCAGCCTGGGCAACAGAGTGAGATCCTGTCAAAAAAAAAAAAAAAGCTTCCAACCTCTTTATTTTTTCCATATTGCTTGGCTTTTCCACGTGAACTTTGTGATTATAAACCAGAAAATAGCTGTCATATTATTTTTTTCTTTCTTTTCTTTTTCTTTTTCTTTTTTTTTTTTTTGAGACGGAGTTTCACTCTTGTTGCCCAGGCTGGAGCACGGTGGCACGATCTCTGCTCAGTGTAACCTCTGCCTCCTGGATTAAGTGATTCTCCTGCCTCAGCCTCCTGAGTAGCTGGGACTACAGGCACACACCACCATGCCCGGCTCATTTTTGCATTTTTAGTAGAGAGGAGGATTCACCACGTTGTTGGCCAGGCTGATCTCGAACTCCAGGCCTCAAGTGATCCACCCCCTTGGCCTCTCAAAGTGCTGGAATTATAGGCGTGAGCCATTGCACCCAGCCATACTTATCTTTTGGTCCACAGAAAGGACCAGCATTTCAATTTTCATTTGGTCTTGTTTTGTTTTTCCTAGATGAAAACGAACTGGCAGTTATAATCAGATATAATCATTACGCAACTAGTAATCGTGCCAAGTCTCCATAATCAAAGTAGGTAAAGAAAGTGGGTTACAGGCTGGGTGCGGTACCCTGTAATCCCAGCACTTTGGGAGGTCGAGGTGGGAGGATCATCTGAGGTCAGGAGTTCAAGACCAGCCTGGGCCAATGTGGTGAAACTCGCTACCAAAAATACAAAAAAATTAGCCGGGAGTGGTGGCGGGCACCCGTAATCCCAGGTACTCGGGAGGCTGAGGCAGGAGAATTGCTTGAGCCTGGAAGGCAGAGTAAGACTCTGTCTCAACAACAATCAAAAGAAAGGTTATAAATTAATTGGTGTAAGGAATAATGGTCTTGTCTACAAACTTCTGAACCTCTTTTCAAGGCTAGAAATCACTCTAGTTAGCAAAATAATAATACCAGTAACAATAGCTAAAAGGGGAAGAGTTTTCAAAATACGACAGGTGCTGCTCTAGCACTTTTGTGTATTACATTATTTAACCTTGACCATCATCTTTAGGAGTAGCTCCCTCATGTCATTCCTATTTGACAGATGGAAACTGAGGCACAGAGACCCAAGTCATCTGTCCTGGCTCAAAGTGGTACTTCAAGTGGTGGCACAGGTGTCATCTGACATCCTCTGTGCATTATGCCCATTCATTCTTTTTTTTTTTTTTTTTTGAGACGAAGTTCACTCTGTTCCCAGCCTGGAATGCCGTGGCACAATCTCGGCTCACTACAACCTCCATCTCTCAGATTCAAGCAAATTATTCTGCTCCTCAACCTCCCCCAGTAGCTGGGATTACAGGCGCACGCCACCACACCAGGCTAACTTTTGTAGTTTTAGTGGAGTCAGGGCTTCACCATGTTGTCCAGGCTGGTCTTCAACTCCTGACCTTAGTGATCCACCGCCTAGGCCTCCCAAAGTGCTGGGATTACAGGCGTGAGCCACTGTGCCCGCCACTGTGTCATCTAATTGTATTTCCAAAAGAAAGAAAAAATTAAAAAATTATATTTCCATCCTCACAGTAACTCCAGAATGAGATAATGTCATCCCCATTTACAAATGAGAAAACAAAACTCCAGCTTTTTTTTTTTTTTTTCTTTGAGACAGTGTCTCACTTCAAACCCAGGCTGGAGTGCAGTGGTGTGATACCGGCTCGCTGCAGTCTTGACTCTCCAGGGCTCAGGGTGATCCTCCGACTCATGATCCGCCTATCTCGGCCTCCCAAAGTGCTGGGATTACAGGCCTGAGCCACCGCGCCTGGCCCAACTCTGTTTACCATTACCAATAATAATAAAACTAACAAAAATTTAAAATAAAAGAATTATTTTGGCCAGGTACAGTGGTTCTTTCCTGCAATCCCGTACTTTGGTTCCAGGAGTTCATGACCATGGGCAATATAGTGAGATTCTGTCTTTACTAAAATATGAAAATTAGCTGGGCATGGTGGTGCATGTCTGTAGTCCCAGCTACTTGTGAGGCAGGAGAATGGCTTGAACCTGGAAGGTAGAGGTTACAGTGAGCCAAGATCGCGCCACTGCACTCCAGCCTGAGCGACAGAGTGAGACTCCATCTCAAAAAAAGAATTTACCTTCTTTAAATCTGCGTCATAACCGGGCGCGGTGACTCATGCCTGTAATCCCAGTACTTTGGGAGGCCGAGGCAGGTGGATCACGAGGTCAGGAGTTCAAGACCAGCCTGACCAACATGGTGAAACCTGGTCTCTACTAAAAATACAGCAATTAGCTGGGCATGCGGCGGCGACTGTAATCCCAGCAACTCGGGAATCTCGAACCTGGGAAGCGGAGGTTGCAGTGGGCCGAGATCACGCCACTGCACTCCAGCCTAGGCGACAGAGCAAGATTCCGTCTCAAAAAAAAAAAATTCTGCATCATGAAATAAAATTTAAATCTCCAGAAAAACAATGAGAATGATTGGATCTCAGGAATCATTTTGTTCTTAGTTTGCAGACCAACACGTCTGGTCGGGAAGACGAGTCCTGATGTTCAGGAGCTCAGGATTCTGGAAATACTGACCCCACTGACGCAGCCTTTGCAGCTTTTGGATTTCCAGAAGTGCTTCCTGAATATCCAGGCACCTCATGTGACCTGAACTTCACGCGTTGAAGACATGGAACAGATCCTAACTGTTTAGATCAATGTTCAATGCACTTTTAAAAAAAGACAAATTCAACCTGGGCATGGTGGTGCATAACTGTAGCCCCAGTTGCTCGGGAGGCTGAGGCTGGAGGGTTGCTCGAGGCCAGGTTCAAGACCAGCCTGGGCAACATAGACCCACTTCTAAACAAAAAAAGTTTTTTAAAGCTGGGCGTTGGTCAGGTACGGGATTTTGAGACTGCCTTGGGAGGCCGAGGCAGGCGGATCATTTGAGGTCAGGAGTTCCAGACCAGCCTGGCCAACATGGTGACACCCCATCTCTACTAAAAATACAAAAATTAGCTGGGTGTGGTGGCGGGTGCCTGTCACTCCACTCTTACTCAGCATGCTGAGGCATGAGAATCTGCTAACCTCGGAGGCAGAGGTTGCAAATGAGCCGAGACTACACCACTGCACTCTTAGCCTGGGTGACAGAGCAAGACTTCGTCTCAAAAAAAAAAAAAAAAGTTGGGCGTGGTAGTGGTACTCTCAGCTACTCAGGAGGCTGAGGTGAGGATCACTTGAGCCCAGGAATTCAGGAGGCTGCAGTGAGCTGGGTGATGGAGTCACTGCACTCCAGCCTGGGTGACAAAATGAGACCCCCAATTCTAAAACTAATATAAAAAGAGAAATTAACAAAATAAGAGAGACAACAAGATAGTATTCATCACTAGTAAGAGATAGATCACATCACCCACTGAACCTTGCCAATGCGATCAAACTCCAATCTGATGGGGTGAGCACTACCCAGCTGCCAATTTGCCGGAAATACAAAAGACAGAGGAAAGGGTTCACCTGCACCAGGGAAATCCAGACTTTGAGAAATGCTACAGGCCCAACAGCTTGGGGCTTGCTTCCCTGTAAAAACTGTGTGGGAAAGGAAAAGGGGTCCGGGCATGGTGGCTCAAGCCTGTAATCCTAACACTTTGGGAGGCCGAGCGGCAGGTCACGTGAGGTCAGGTTCGAGACCAGCCTGGCCAACATGGTGAAACCCCATCTCTACTAAAAATACAAAAATTCGACGGCGGGTGGCACATGCTTGTATCCCAGCTACTCAGGAGGCTGAGGCAGGAGAATCGCTTGAATCCCGGGAGGCAGAGGTTGCAGTGAGCCAAAACTGCACCACTGCACTCCAGCCTGGGTGATAGAGCAGACTCCAAGTCAAAAAAAAATATATATATATATATATATAGTTTTTGCAGAGACAGGGAGTCTCCTGTGTTGTCCAGGTTGGTCTCAAACCTCTGAACTTAAGTGATCCTCTGCACCTCAGGATTACAGCGTGTTTTTCACTAAACCCAGCCAACGAACCTGTAGATTGAGAGAGGATTAAAAGACATACCCATGTTGGGAAATGGACAAGACTGTTATGGTCTGGAGATGCATACTAGGGCGGCTCTACTCTAAAGAAACAGAAAGAAACTGGCAATGGCTCACGTTATAACCCCAAGCACTTTGGGAGGCCGAGACGAGAGGATTGCTTGTGGTTTGGTGAGCTGGGACCAGCCTGGCAACATAGTAAGACCTTTGCCTCTACCAAAAAAAAAAAAAAAAATTAAAATTAAATTAGCCAGGCATGGTGGCACACACCTGTCAGTCCCGGCTACTCGGGAGGCTGAGGGAAGAGGATTGCTTGATCCTGGAGGCCAAGGCTGCAGGAGCCATGATCAAACCACTGCACTGCAGCTTGCGACAGAGCGAGATCTCATCTCAAAAAAAAAAAAAAAAAAAAAGAAAGAAAAGCAAAAGCAAAGCAAAAAAAAAAAAAAAGCAATTACTATGAATGTCAGGGTTGGGGAATACTTGAGAGAAGGAGGGCTGGCATTGTGCCCAACTTGAGCCCTTTTCTGGAAATAAAGAGTCCCAGTGGGGAAGCCGAGGCACAAGTGAGATTCAGGCGTGCAGCACCAGGAGGGTCCTTTCTCCTTCCCACCTCCTTGCCCTTTCTTTCTGGAAACAGGAGCATGATTGTCTTTCTTCTTTGCCTTCCTAACTAGATAGAGTTTCTGAAAGGAGAATTTACATACAGGATGTATACCATTGACATGCACAGCCAGTTGGAACTGATCGACTGTCGGTTGGATACCCAGCCAGGCACACATCCCTGATTCCTCTGGTAAGTACATCTCGATGTTTCTGCTATCGGGATTCTCAGCCACATGCCCGGTGCCCACTCCCAGATTCTGAAATCCTTGCATCCCCACAAGGAGAGAGACGCTACTCAGGCACTCACGATTCTCCTGCATAGAAATTGTCTCTATGTGTCTTTTTTTTTTTTTTTTTTTTTTTTTTTTTTTTGAGACGGAGTCTCGCTCTGTCGCCCAGGCTGGAGTGCAGTGGCGCAATCTCGGTCACGCAAGCTCCGGGCCTCCCGGTTCAGCCGCCATTTCTCCTACCGCCTCAGCCTCCCGAGTAGCTGGGACTACAAGCCACCACTGCGCCCGGCTAATTTTTTTTTCTATTTTTAGTAGAGACGGGGTTTCACCATGGTCTCGATCTCCTGATCTTGTGATCCGCCCGCCTCGGCCTCCCAAAGTGCTGGGATTACAGGCGTGAGCCACCGCGCCCGGCCTTTTTTTTTTTTTTTTTTTTTGAGACAGGACCTCGCTTTGTCCATTGCTTGAGGTAGAGCAGTAGATCCGGTTACTGTAACCTCTGCCTCTCAGGCTCAAGCAATACCCTGGGCCTCAGCCTCACGAGTAGCTGGGATTACCGCATGTGCCACCACACCTGGTGAATTTTGTATTTTTAGTGGAGATGGGGTTTCCCCATGTTGGCCAGGCTGGTCTTGAACTCCTGGTCTCAGGTGATCTGCTCACCTCAGACTCCCAAAGTGCTGGGATTACAGGCGTGAGCCACCGTGTCCAGCCATTTCTGTGTGTCTTCCCTCCACCAGCTTTCTGCATGTCTGGGCGTGATGAGGTTGTGGCTGTCCAGCTGGCCGCCTGGCCTGTCTTGTGCCGTCTCTGTGCCTCCTCCATCCTTCTCAGCTGCTCATAAATTCATTTTCTATTCTTTACTTTTTTTTCTTTTCTTTCTTTTTTTTTTTTTTTTTTTTTTTTTTGAGACGGAGTTCTATACTTGCCGCCCAGGCTGGAGGCAGTGCGTGATCTCCTCTCACTGCAAGCTCCGCCGCCTCCTGGGTTCACGCCATTCTCCTGCCTCAGCCTCCTAGAAGCTGACTACAGGCGCCACCACCACGCCTGTTAATTTTTTTGTATTTTTCAGTAGAGATGAGGTGTCACTGTGTTCGCCAGGATGGTCTTCGATCTTCCTGACCTCGGTGATCCTGCCGCTTGGCCTCCCAAAAATGCTGGGATTACAGGTGTAAGCCACCGCGCCTGGCCTGTTTTTTTTGTTTATTTTGGAGATGGAGTTTTGCCTGTTGCGCGAGGCTGGCACAACTGCTCACTGTGCCTTTCTGCCTCAGCTCAAGCACTCTCTCTCTCTGCCTCAGCCTCCCAGGTAGCTGGGATTACAGGCATGCCATCATGACTGACTGAGTTTTGTATTTTTAGTAAGACGGGGAGCCATGCATGTTGGTCAGACTGGTCTTGAACTCCCTGACCCACAGGCGTAAGCCACCGCGCAGGCCTCATTTTCCTAATTCCAGTCGTTGCTCAGGCTTCTCTTGCTAACAGCTAAAAGCCCTGACCCCATGGCCTTCCCACCAGCAGGAAGTGCTTTTGGATGTTTCTAGATCCAAATCTAAGTGTCTAAGCCATATCAGTTGCATGTACAGATGGTCCCACAATTTTGACTTTACAATGGCACAAAATCGATTACGCTCAGTAGGAACTGTGCTTCCAGTACTGATACAACTTTTCTGTTTTTCACTGTTAGTATTCAGTAAGTTACATGAGGACTAGGTGCGGAGCCACGCCCGTAATTTCAGTACTGCAGGAGGCTGAGGTGGGGAGGGGATCACTTGAACCCAGGAGATTTTCGGAGACTAGCTCTGGCAACATAGTGAGACCCTGTCTCTACAAAAAGTATAAAAATTATGAACTGGGTGTGGTGGCGCATGCCTGTAATCCCAGCTGCTCGGGAGGCTGAGGCAGGAGAATCACTTGAACCCGGGAGGCAGAGGTTATGGTGAGCTGAGATCATGCCATTGCACTCCAGCCTGGGCAACAAGAGTGAAACTCTGTCTCTAAATAAATAAATAAATAAATAAATAAATATAAAAATTAGCCAGGTATAGTGGCATGCACCTGTAGTCCCACATACTTGGGAGGCTGAGGTAGGAGGATCACTTGAGCCCAGGAGGTTGAGGCTGCAGTGAGCTATAATCATGCCATTGCACTCCAGCCTGCAAGAGAGCAAGACCTCATCTCTTAAAAAATAAAATTTGTCCAGGTGGTGTGGTGGCTCACGCTGTACTCCCAGCACTTTGGAAGGCCAAGGCGGGCAGATTGCCTGAGGCCAGGAGTTCAAGACCAGCCTGGCCAACATAGTGAAACCCTATCTCTACTAAAAATACAAAAATTAGTCGGGTGTGATGGCAGGCACCTGTAGTCCCAGCTACTCAGGAGGCTAAGGCAGGAGAATCACTTGAATCTGGGTGAAGGCTGCAGTGAGCTGAGACCACGCCTGCATTCCAGCCTAGGCGATAGAGTGAGACTCCGTCTCAAAAAAATAAATAAAAATAAATAAATATAAATTCTAAAAAATTAAAAGGAGGTAAATTATTGCTTCCATGAGACAGAGTTTCTGTTTGGGGTGACGAAAGTTTTGGAAACAGATGGTGGTGATGGTTGTACAATATTGTGAATCTACCTAATGCCATTGAATTGTATGATTTAAAGGTGGGTAATTCATCCAGATGTATTATCTATTTCTACAAACATTCAGGAAGGCTGACCCTGAAATGTCAACGCCGTGATCCAGGGGTGGAAGGGCGAGCGGGTTTTTGTTCTCCTTTCAGCATTGCTTTATTTGTTCTCAACTTAAAGTAGTCTGGGTTAACTTCCAATGCTTGGTAGGTTAAGTCTATTAAAATGCATTTTTCAGACCTGGGTATGGTGGCTCACCTGTAATCTTAGCACGTTGGGAGGCCGAGGTGGGAGGATTGCCTAAACTCGGGAGTTTGAGACCAGCCTGTGCAACATGGTAAATCCTCGTCTCTACTAAAAATACAAAACTTAGCTGGGTGTGGTAGCGTGCTTGTAATCCCAGCTATTCGGGAGGCTAATGCATGGAGGAATGCCAATTTAGAGATGCAGAGGTTGCTTATCAAGACTTCAACCAATGCATTGCAGTCAAGGGATGAGTAGTCACCTCAAATTAAAATAAATAATAGGAAGAAATGAGGCTGCTGCCATGGTCCCAAAGTACTTTTAGGAGAGCTGGACAGCAGCCAATCTGAGGCTGTGAAATCAATAGCCTGCTTGTATAAGTCACAAGAAACCTGTTTCGACTAAAAACTGCCAAATTAGTTGGTAAAGTTAACACAATCTAATCCAACTATTTAGAGATTGAGAAGTAACTACAACCCAGATAGGAATTAGGTAGAGCCTGAGTTTGCACGACTGCACCCAGCCTGGGTGACAGAGTGAGATTCCATCTCAAAAAATACATTAATAAACAAATTCAAATAAATAATAAATAAATAAAATGCATTTTCAACTTCTTCTTCTTTCTTTTTGGAGACAGAGTTTATTTTTTGTTACCCAGGCTGGAGTACAATGGCATGATCTCAGCTCACCGCAACTTCCGCCTCCCGGGTTCAAGCTTTTCATTCTCTTGCCTCGCTCCTGAGTAGCTAGAATTACAGGCATGTGCCACCACGCCCGGCTAATTTTGTATTTTTAGTAGAGATGGGGTTTCTCCATGTTGGTCAGGCTGGTCTCAAACTCCTGACCTCAGGTGTGTGATCCACTCCACTGGCTCCCAAAGTGCTGAAGTGCAGGCGTGAGCCACTGCGCCTGGCCAATTTTTTTTTTTTTTTTTTTTTGGTAGAGATGGGATCTTGCTGTGTTGGAAGCCAGGCTGGTCTCAAACTCCTGACTTCCAGTGATCCACCTGCTTTGGTCTCCCAAAGTGCTGGGATTACAGGCATTGGCCACTGTGCCCAGTCCTGGTTTTTCATCTGAAGGTGTGCTGGGGTCACTGCAGGGGGTTTGTCGCCCCTGTCCCGCCTGCTGGCTCCAGACAGCTCCGAGCTTCTACTCCACTCCCAGGTGATGGTGAGTAATCACCTCTGGGGTTCCAGGCCACCTTCTACGAGAACGGTTACACGCTGGGGACGGGAACACCAAGTACAAACTGGTGAGCCGCGTTCCCACTCAAACCCCGAAGCCGCTCTGTCCCTTGAGGGTCTCTCCTCCTCCTTCCCTTATCAGCAGAAAATGCTGAGGAGTTTCCAGGGTGCATGGCTTCTGGCTGTGCCTCCCGGGATGGGAAGGTGATCAGGCAACAGGCGCCCACGCGCTTGACCTCATTAAAGTGTCACACGGAGACTCCGGATGGCATGACAGGGAGGAGCCTAACTCAGCCCGAGAAGGGGTGGAAGGAGATCTGAGTTAGCTGGGTAAACTGAGGCATGAGGATTGAGTCAGGGCAGTTTCCACAGGGCAGGGGCCTGACCAGGTGCAAGTCGGTGACGGCAAACTCCTTTGACCAAGTTCTTCACATCACATCTAGGTGAGTGAGGAAAACAATCGCTCCTCACTACGGGTCCCCAGAACTCAGGGAGAGCATGGGAATGGGCGCGACTACATTGGGGCTGCGTTTCTATGAACTCCAGAAGGCTTTCTTTACAGGCGCTGGGATTAGAACAGAGCACGGCTTGGCTGGGCGCAGTGGCTCACACCTGGAATCCCAGCACTTTGGGAGGCCAAAGCAGGTGGATCACTGGAGGTCAGGAGTTTGAGACTAGCCTGGCCAACATGGTGAAACCCTGTGTCTACTAAAAATACAGAAAGAAAAAAAAAAGCCGGTGTGGTGGCGGGCACCTGTAGTCCCAGCGCGTGGGAGGCTGAGGCAGGAGAATGGCGTGAACCTGGGAGGCGGAGCTTGCAGCGAGCCGAGGTCGCGCCACTGCACTCCAGCCTGGGCGACAGAGCGAGGCTCCGTCTCAAGAAACAGGAAAAAAAAAAGGGCAAAATTAGCCAGGCACGGCAAGGCTCACCTGTAGTCCCAGCTGCTTGGGAGGATGAGGCAGGAGAATCGCTTGAACCTGGGAGGCGGAGCTTGCAGTGAGCCAAGATGGTGCTACTGCACTCCAGCCTGGGCAACAGAGAGAGACTCCATCTCAAAAAAAAAAAAAAAAAAAAAGAACAGAGTGGGACTAAGAGGCTTCCAGGTTTGTCTCCCCCCACGTCCCTCCCCAACACCCCATCTCTCCCAATGTCCTGAGTTGGGGGATGCCCGTGGTGTTCCACAGATGTACTTGGATTTTCTCTTGACCGCACAGGATATTTACTTAAAACAGCAACAGCACTGGGGCAGGACGGACTTCAACTTCACTTCCAGGTATGTTGTCTCCCGGCAGAGGTGCGGACTGGCTGGTTTACAGGGTTCCTTTAGTAGGAGCGAACAGAAGCAGGGCTGAGATCAGACTCCCCAGCTTTAGGTCAATAAAACAAGGTGATTAAAACACTTTACAAGAGCCGGGCACGGTGGCTCATGCCTGGAATCCCAGCACTTTGGGAGGCTGAGGTGGGTGGATCTCTGGAGGTCAGGAGTTCAAGACCAGCCTAGCCAACACAGTGAAACCCCATCTCTACTAAAAATACAAAAAAATAGCTAGGTAGTGGCAGGCACCCCACTTCCAGCTACTTCCGGGAGGCTGAGGCAGGAGAACTGCTTGAACTCAGGATGGAGGCTGCAAGGAGCCGAGATCATGCCAGCACTTAGCCTAGGCGACAAGAGTGAAACTCTGTCTCCAAAAAAAAAAAAAAAAAAAAAGAGCCAAGTGTAGTGGTGGGCGCCTGTAGTAGCTACTCAGGAGGCTGAGGTAATTAGGAATGGTTTGAACTCCAGGAGGCAGAGGTTGCAGTGAGCCGAGATGATACCACTGCACTCCAGCCTGGGCAACACAGTGAGACTCCATCTCAAAAACAACAACAAAACAACAACAAAACACTCTTTATAAAATGGCGGTATCTCAAACACTGAAACATGAATGCCATTTGTCTAACAAACCCACTGCCATCCATCCAAAAGAATAGAAAGCAGGGGCCAGGTGCAGTGGCTCACGCCGGTAATCCCAACACTTTGGGAGGCTGACAGTAGGCAGATCGCAGGTCAGGAGTTCGAGACCAGCCTGACCAACATGGTGAACCCCTATCTCTACTAAAAATACAAAAATTAGCTGGGCGTGGTGGCGCGTGCCTGTAATCCCAGCTACTGGGGGGCTGAGGCAGGAGAATCACTTGAACCCGGGAGGCAGAGATTGCAGTGAGCCGAGATCATGCCTCTGCCTTCCAGCCTGGGTGACAGAGACAGCCTCGCCTCAAAAAAAAAAAAAAAAAATAAAAGCAGGAATCAGAGGACAAGGCTCTGTGCCATGAGCAGTGGATTAACAATAGCTGCACATAATCAACCATGGATCCATCACCAGATGAAAGGATGAACACAGCATGGTCCATCTTCACATCACAACATGACTTAGACTAAAGAAGCAAGGGAGTCCTGGGCCGGGGTAATAGAATGGCTCACACCTGTAATCTCAGCACTCTGGGAGGTCAAGGCGGGCGGATCACCTGAGGTCAGGAGTTTGAGACCAGCCTGGCCAATATGGTGAAACCAGGTATCTTTACTAAAATTACAAAAATTATTGGGCGCAGGTGGTGTGCCTGTAATCCCAGCTATTCAGGAGGCTTTGCAGAACTGCTTGAACCCAGGAGGCAGAGCTTGCAGTGAGCCGAGATTGTAGCTGGGACTACAGGTGTGTGCCACCACGCCTGGCTTTTTTTTTTTTTTTTTTTTTTTTGTATTTTTAATAGAAATAGAGTTTCACAATAGTAGCCAGACTGGTCTTGAACTCTTTTTTTTTTTTTTTTTTTTTTTTTTTTGAGATGGAGTCTCGCTCTGTCGCCCAGCTGGAGGCAGTAGTGCAACTCAGCTCACGGCAAGCTCCGCCTCCCGGGTTTACGCCATTCTCCTGCCTCAGCCTCCCGAGTAGCTGGGATCACAGGCGCCCGCCACCACGCCCGGCTAGTTTTTGTATTTTTTAGTAGAGACGGGGTTTCACCAAGCAGTTAGCCAGATGGTCTGATCTCCTGACTCGTGATCTGCCCGTCTCAGCCTCCCAAAGTGCTGGGATTACAGGCTTGCCTCCTCACTGCGCCCGGCCAGTCTTGAACTCTTGACCTCAAGTGATGTGCCCGTCTCGGCCTCCCAAAGTTCTGAGATTACAGGCATGAGCCACCGAGGCCAGCCCTATACACTTTTAAACTATCAGATATTGTGAGAATTCACTGACTATCACAAGAACACCAAGGGGGGAACTGTCTCCATGATCCAATCACCTCCCATCAGGTCCCTCCCCTGACATGTGAGGATTGGCAATTTAAGATGAGATTTGGGTGGGGACATAGAACCAAACCATATCAGATGGATAAATGGGTAGATAGATGAGTGGATAGATGGATGGAGAGATGGATGGATGGTTGGCTGGATGGGTGGGTGGATGGATGAATGGATGGATGGATGGGTGGGTGGGTGGATGGATGAGTGAATGGATGAATGGATGGGTGGGTGGATGGAATGGATAGATAGATAAATGGGTAGATAGATGAGTGGTTGGATAGAGAGCGGATGGGTGGATGGATGGATGGATGGGTGGGTGGATGGAATGGATGGATGGATAAATGGGTAGATAGATGAGTGGTTGGATAGAGGGATGGATGGGTGGATGGATCGATGATGATGGGTGGGTGGAATGAATGGATGGAAGGATGGATGAGATGGATGGATGGGTGGATGGATGGATGCATAAATGGATAGATGGATGAGGAATGGATGATGGATGGGTGGGTGGATAGAATGAATGGATAAATGGGTAGATGGATGAGTGGATGGGTAGAGAGATGGAAGGGTGGATGGGTTGATGGACAGACGAATGGGTGGGTGGAATGAATGGATGGATGAGATGGATGGATGGATGGATGAATGGATGTATGGGTGGAATGAATGGATGGATGAGATGGATTGATCGATGGATGGATGATGGACGAATGGGTGGGTGGAATGAATGGATGGAAGGATGGATGAGATGGATGGATGGATGCATGGGTGATTGAATGGATGGATGAGATGGACTGATGTATGGATGGATGGATGGATGAATGGGTGGGTGGAATGAATGGATGGATGAGATGGATGGATGGATGGATGGATGAATGGATGGGTGGGTGGGAATGAATGGATGGATGAGGATGGATGGATGGATGGAGGAATGGATGTATGGGTGGGAATGAATGGATGGATGAGCGGATTGATGTATGGATGGATGGATGGACGAATGGGTGGGTGGAATGAATGGATGGAAGGATGGATGATGGATGTGGGTGGATGGATGATGGATGGGATTGAACGGATGAAAGGATGAACGAAATGCAAATGCGGTTGTTGACAAGGGTGCTGTTCTTTAATAACACAGGTTCCATTGGGTTCGTGCAGCTTAAAGAGAGCCACCATGTCTACTCAACTGTGGACATAGCAAATAAGGAAATTTAATGTGTGGATATCAAGCCACTGGTAGGTCCCAAATCTTGGCTGTCCCATATTCGGTGTCGTAAGTGTTAAGACGCATGGAAGCTGGCCCTGAGGTTGCAGTGAGCAGAGATAGTGCCACTGCACTCCAACCTGGGTGCAACAGAGCGAGACTCTGCTTCAAAAATAAAAAGAATTAAAAATAAAAATAAACATTCATGGTATAAAAATGTATGGCTGCATGCTTCCACACAGATGAACTCGAGGAGATCCCACAGGGTGAGAGAAGCCAGGTACGAAAGGACACATCCTGTGTGATTCCACTGTTAGGAGGTCCCTAGAGTCATCAGATTCATAGAGACAGAAAGTAGGATTAGTGCTGTGGGGCTGGGGAAGGGGGGTGATCGAGGCAGCTGGAATGCAGGCAGTCACCCTGCTGGCCACGCTGGTCTCGGAACTTTGATCCGGTGATCTGCCCGCCTCGGTCTCCCAAAGTGCTGGGATTACAGGCGTGAGCCACTGCACCTGGCCAATTTTTTTTATTTTTAGTAGAGATATTTCACCCATGTTGGCCAGGCTGGTTCGAACTCCCTTTTTTTTTTTTTTTTTTTTTTTTGACATGGAGTCTTGCTCTGTCGCCCAGACTGAGTACAGTGTCACGATCTCGGCTCACTATAACCTCCATCTCCCAGATTCAAGCAATTCTCCTAACTTCACCCTGCCGAGTAGCGGGGAGGTTTTTGTTGTATTTTTAGGTAGAACAAGCCACCATAGCCAGGCTGGTCTTGAACTCTTGACCTCAGGTGATGCCCGTCTCGGCCTCTGAGCCACCACACCCAGCTAATTTTTGTATTTTTAGAAGAAACTGTGTTTCACCATGTTAGCCAGGCTGGTCTCGAACTCCTGATCTTAAGTGATCTGCCCGCCTTGGCCTCTCAAATTGCTGGGATGACAGTCATGAGCCACTGTGCCCAACCTGGTCTTGAACTCTTGGTCTTGTGATCCTCCTGCCTCAGCCTCCCAAAGTGCTGGGATTACAGGCCTGAGCTCCTATACCTGACCAGTTTTTTTGTTTTTTTGTTTTTTAAATAATCTTGCATTCTGTTCTAAGGTAAATCCATGTTTGTCTTGCTTTTTGGTTTGCTTTGTTTATTTATTTATTTTTGAGACAGTTTCTACCTTGCCCAGGCTGGAGTGCAGTGGCACGATCTCGGCTCACTGTAACCTCCACCTCCTGGGTTCAAGCAATTCTGCTTCAGCCTCCCAAGTAGCTGGGATTACAGGCAAGCCCCACCATGCCTGGCTAATTTTTGTATTTTAATAGAGCTGGGGTTCACCACGTTGGCCAGGCTGGTCTTGAACTCCTGACCAGGCACACTCCGCCTTGGCCTCCCAAAGTGCTGGGATTACAGGTGTGAGCTACAGCGCCTGGCTGTTTTTTATTTTTAGATACAGGGTCTCACTCTGTCTCCCAGGCTGAAGCACAGTAACACAATCAAGGCTTACTGCAGCCTCAACCTTCTGGGCTCAAACGATGTTCTTGCCTCAGCCTCCCAAGTAGCTGGGATTACAGGCGTGCACCACCACGCCCGGCTAAGTTTTATTTTTCATAGAGACAAGGTGTCACTATGTTGTCTTGGTGACTGGTCTCTAACTCCTGCCTCAAGCACTCTACTGCCTCAGCCTCTCAAAGTGCTGGGATTACAGGCGTGAGCCACTGCGCCTGGCCCGTGTTTGTCTTAATACAAAACAGCTTTCAAATACCAGAAGTCCTCTGGTCCTGTGGCTTTTAGACTCCATTGTATAACTCTGAGGGTGCCATGCAGCACTGCAGTTTGAGAAGCATGTCCCTAAGGCTGAAAAGTAACTCTATAATCTGCTCTTTCTATCTTCTTTCTCCTTTTTGTTTATTCATTCCAGGCTATTGATTGACATTGATTCATTCATTCATTCATTCATTCATACATGCATGCATGCATTTTGTTTTCCCCATGCTCTCTGTGTACCAGGGATTTTGGTTGACTCATAAAATTAGTTCTGGGCCTGGCACAGTGGCTCACATCTGCATTCCTAAAAATTGGGAGGCCCAGCAGGTGGATCTTCACCTGAGTCAAGAGTTGGAGACCAGCCTGGCCAACATGATGAAACCCCGTCTCTACTAAAAATACAACAATTAGCCAGGCATGGTGGCAGGCACCTGTAATCCCAGCTACTTGGGAAGCTGAGGCAGGAGAATCGATTGAACCCAGGAGGATAAGGCAAGGGAGCTGAGATTGGGCCACGCACTCCAGCCTGGGTGACAGAGCAAAAACTCCGTCTTAAAAATAACCACCAGGGCCGGGCGCGGTGGCTCAAGCCTGTAATCCCAGCACTTTGGGAGGCCGAGACAGGCGGATCACGAGGTCAGCAGATCGAGACCATTTGTAATAACATGGTGAAACCCCGTCTCTACTAAAAATACAAAAACTAGCTGGGCGAGGTGGCGGGCGCCTGTAGTCCCAGCTACTCGGGAGGCTGAGGCAGGAGAATGGCTAAACCCGGGAGGCGGAGCTTGCAGTGAGCTGAGACCCGGCCACTGCACTCCAGCCTGGGCGACAGAGCGAGACTCTGTCTCAAAAAAAAAAAAAAAAAAAAAAAAAATCAATTAATTAAAAAGAAAAAGTTGGCCAGGCTCAGTGGCTCATGCCTGTAATCCCAGCACATTGGGAGGCCGAGACGGGGAGATCACGAGGTCAGGAGATCGAGACCATTCTGGCTAACACGGTGAAGCCCCGTCTCTACTAAAAAAATAAAAATAAGAAGCTCGGGCATGGTGGCGGGTACCTGTAGTCCCAGATGCTTGGGAGGCTGAGGCAAGAGAATGGCATGAACCCAGGAGGCGGAGCTTGCAGTAAGCTGAGATCGCACCACTGCACTCCAGCCTGGGCGACAGAGTGAGACTCTGTCTCAAAAAAAAAAAAAAAAGAAGAAGAAAAGAAAAAGTTAATTCTGGTTCTGTGAAGCCACTAACAGCCTGGGCCAGGTGACACCGGAGTTTAGTTAGCCCTACCCCAGGCTCAGAGCTTAAGCTCGCGGGGCCAGCTGCAGCTACAGTGCATCCCAGGCATCCAGGACACGCTTATTGAATCCAGGCCACATGGTTTCCAAACCGTTCCAATGGGAGTGTGTCCCTGTATAGGATTCACTGTGTCTGGGTGGACCTCACTGACCTGGGTCTACTGTCTCCTCTGCAGTCACACTGATTTCAGTTGGCTGTGATCTGGATAAAAAGATCGGCTATTCAGAAGTAAGTATGCTGAGGCCAGGTGCCGTGTCTCACGGCTGTGATCCCAGCACTTTGGGAGGCCGAGGTGGGCATTTGAGGTCAGGAGTTAAGACCAGCCTGGCTAACATGGCAAACCCCGGTCTCTACTGAAAAAAAAAAAAATTATCGTGGTGGCAGGCCTGCAATCTCAGCTACTTGGGAGGCTGAGGCTGGAGGATCACTTGAACCTGGGAGGTGGAGGCTGCAGTGAGCTGAGATTGAGCCACTGCACTCTACACTCCAGCCTGGGTAACACAGTAAGACTCTTTGTCTGGAAAAAACAAACAAACAAACAAACAAACAAAAAGAAGTAAGTATGTTGCTATTGGAGGAGTGGGGAGAGGAGGAGGAGTTGTTGGGGCACCATTAGCCACATGGTAACAATTGCTGAGGTGGGATGACTTTTCGATTATCTCTTGCTTAGTTTTGTATGCTTACTATTTCCATAATAAAAGTTAAATGATTCAATTCTAATAGGTTAACTTTGTTTCCAGCACATTGACTCTCTTCACCTGCTGGTGATATCCACTTTTTTGTTTTTTTTTTTGAGACCTAGTCTCGCCTGTTGCCCAGGCTGAGTACAGTGGCACGATCTCAGCTCACTGCAACCTCCGCTTCCCAGGTTCAAGCGATTCTCCTGCCTCAGCCTCCCTAGTAGCTGGGATTACAGGCAAGTCTTCACACACACCTGGCTAATTTTTGTATTTTTAGTAGAAACGGAGTTTCACCATGTTGGCCAGGCTGGTCTCAAACTCCTGACCTCAAGAGATTTGCCCGCCTCAGCCTCCCAAAGTGCTGGGATTACAGGCATGAGCCACCGCGCCTGGCCTAACACAATTTTTAAAATAAATTTTTTAAAAAGCCAGACCAGCTACACTCTAATGGCAAAAGTGCAGAGCTGTTTCTGCCATGCCCTCCCAGAGTTGGGGGTCTCGTTTTTTTGTTTGTTTGTTTGTTTTCCATATCTGCTCATTTGGCAACTGCTCATGCATTGGACAGAAAAGGTGTGCCTCCCTTTTAATTTATTTTATTATTTTGTTTTTATTTTTATCAATTTATTTTTGAGACAGAGTCTTGCTCTGTCACCCAGGCTGGAGTGCAGTGGCGCGATCTCAGCTCACTGCAACCTCCACCTCCCAGGTCTGCGATTCTCCTGCCTCAGCCTCCCAAGAAGCTGCGATGAGAGGCACGATACCTCACGCCTGGCTAACTTTTTGTATTTTTTTAAATAGAGACAGGGTTTCTCCATATTGGCCAGGCTGGTCTCAAACTCCTGACCTCAGGTGATCCGCCTGCCTCAGCCTCCCAAAGTGTTGGCCTGAGCCACCACGCCCCAGCCTCCCTTTCTGTCCCATCCATAATGATTTTGGTTCCTTGTGGGTCACACAATTGCTCAATGTCAGTCTTTTGTTTGCAGCACAAGCCGCCTGTTCCGAGGGCATCCTGGATGCCTTGGCCCTGCAAGACAATTACAGCTTCATCATCGACAAGTAAGCCAGTGTCCCTCCGGGGCAACACCTGGAAAACCCAAGGCAACAATCAGGCCTGCAAAAGCCAAGAGCAAATTAGGACTGTATTTATTCATTCATTCATTCATTCATTCATTCATTCATTCATTCATTTATTTTAAGAGATAGGGTCTTGGCTCCTGTGGCCCAGGCTGGAGTGCAGCGCGATGATAGCTCACTGCAGCCTCGACTTCCTGGGCTCAACTGATCCTCTTGCCTCAGCTGGCTGGTCCCACGTGCTGTCCCGCTCAGTGAGTGTGTGCTGCCACGCCGATACGAGAGTCTGGCCTAGTCAATTTGTGCTGCTTTGGAAAGACTACCCAGGCTGCGTGATTTATAAAGAAAGAGTTATGGCCGGGTGTGGTGGCTCACGCCTGTAATTCCAGCACTTTGGGAGGCCGAGACGGGCAGATCACTTGAGCTCAGGAGTTCGAGACCAGCCTGGCCAACATGGCAAAACCTCATCTCTACTAAAAATACAAAATTAGCCAGGCATGGTGGTGGGCGCCTGTAATGCCAGCTACTCGGGAGGCTGAGGCAGGAGAGTTGCTTGAAACCGGGAGGCAGAGGTTGCAGTGAGCAGAGATCGCACCACTGCACTCCAGCCTGGGCGACAGAGGGAGACTCTGTCTCATTAAAAAAAAAAAAAAGGAGGGGGGCAGGGGAGGAGGCTAGGTGCAGTGGCTCACACCTGTAATTCCAGCATTTTGGGAGGCTGAGGCAGGAGAACTGCTTGAGGCCAGGAGTTTGAGACCAGCCTGGGCAACCTAGAGAAGAAAAAAAAAAAAAATTAGGGTGGGGGGACAGGAGAAGGTGCCAGGTTCTTTTTATTTATTTATTTATTTTTTTTCCGAGACGGAGTCTCGCTCTGTCGCCCAGGCGGAGCTTGCAGTGGCCGGATCTCAGCTCACTGCAAGCTCCGCCCGGGTTCACGCCATTCTCCTGCCTCAGCCTCCCGAGTAGCTGGGACTACAGGCGCCACCACTTCGCCCCGGTTAATTTTTTTGTATTTTTTAGTGGAGACGGGGTTTCACCGTGTTAGCCAGGATGGTCTCGATCTCCTGACCTCGTGATCCGCCCCGTCTCGGCCTCCCAAAGTGCTGGGATTACAGGCTTGAGCCACCGCGCCGGCCGGTGTCAGGTTCTTAAACAAACTATCATGGAAGCTGAGATTGAAAATCCACTACTACCATGAAGATGGCTCTAAGCTATTCATAGCCCTGCCCTTGTGGTCTAAACACCTCTGACTAGGCACCTCCCAACACTGGGGATCCACAGTTTGAGCAGGAGCTTTTGGAAGTGACAAGCATTCGATCATATCATGCCCTCATTGCACCCAGCATGGGGGAGCCTTTACCACCCCAGTGCACGTCTGTGATTCGCGGAGACCTGGACTCCTCAAATGCAAGTCAAAGTCAGTTACCCATTTAGAGCTGAGGCCTAAACTGCGCTTCTGGGCTGCTAAGGGGCAGTGACTTTGGAACCTGCAGAGGACACAGAGGGAGGCTATCTTAGTCTGTGTGGTTGTATTGCAAATACTTTAAACTGGGTGATTTGTTAGTTGGTGCAAAGGTAATTACGGTTTTGGCCGGGCGCAGTGGCTCATGCCTGTAATCCTAGCACTTTGGGAGGCTGAGACGGGCAGATCACTTGAGGTCAGGAGTTTGAGAGCAGTCTGGCCAATGTGGTGAAACCCCATCTCTACTAAAAATACAAAAATTAGGCAGGTATAGTGGCACATGCCTGTAGTCGCAGCTACTCGGGAGGCTGAGGTGGGAGAATTGCTTCGACCCGGGAGGCGGGAGGGTGCTCCAGTGAGCCGAGATCACGCCACTGTCCTCCAGCCTGGGCAACAGAGTGAGACTCCGTCTCACAAAAAAAAAAAAAAGTAATTACGTTTTTTGCCGCTGAAAGTAATGGCAAACACTGGCTAGGCGCAGTGGCTCACACCTGTAATCCCTGCACTTTGGGAGACTGAGGCAGGTGGATCACCTGAAGTCAGGAGTTCAAGACCAGCCTGGCCAACATGATGAAACTCCATCTCTACTAAAAATACAAAAATTAGCCAGGCATGGTGGCAGGCACCTGTAATCCCAGCCTTCAGGAGGCTGAGACAGGAGAATCGCTGAACCCGGGAGGCAGAGGTTGCAGTGAGCTGAGATCACGCCACTGTGCTCCAGCCTGAGCACAAAGAATGAAATCTCCATCTCAAAAAAAAAAAAAAAGGAAAAAGCAGTGAAAACTCTCGATTACTTTTGCACTGATCTAATTTAAGAAGAGAAATTTTGTTGGGCTTGGTGGCTTACACCTGTAATCCCAGCACTTTGGGAGGCTGAGGTGAGAGAATCACTTGAGGCCAGGAGTTTGAGACCGGCCTGGGCAACACAGCAAGACCTCATCTATACAAAAATTTAAAATAGTAACCATGTGTGGTGGCGTGTGCCTGTAATCCCAGTCATTCGGGAGGCTGAGGTGGGAGGACTGCTTGGGCCCAGGAGGTGGAGGCTGCAGTGAGTCATGATTGCATTACTGTGCTCCAGCCAAAAAATTAACTAGAACGGGAAGTTTCAGCATCATCTGGTCCATGGCTCTCAATCACCCACCTCAGATGCCACCTCCAACCACTCTCATGGATGATCCCCATTTGCATAAAAGAAACTGCAGCTGTGAAGGGTTGGCAGACTGGGCAGGAACTCACAGATTCCCCCATCTCTGCTTCTCTCTTTGCTGTCTTGCAGAAGGGAATTCTACGAATTCCCAGCTTCCAGGGGCGGCAGTCCTCCAAGGACCTGCACGTGTTTTACTCCTACCAGCAGCTGGGCTGTCCTCTCCTCGTCTACTATGATACCCCATGGAAGCCTGTGGTGGAGCTGAAGATCTCAGGGGTGCTGCAGGGTGGTGGCGGTGGCAGGGCCTCATGCTCCCTGGCCCTGGGGTACTCAGCCTGGCCTCCCTCGGCTACCATCCTGGCCCTCCAGGCCTCTATCCTCAAAATGATTGATGATGGTCACTGTTTCCCACCATTCTCCTGCCCCAACCCTGACCGGCCCCTGGTGGCCCTCTCCCTGGAACAACACCTTTTCTTTTTTGAGACAGGGTCTTGCTCTCTGTTGCCTAGGCTGGAGTGCAGTGGCATGATCTCAGCTTCACTGCAGCTCCTGTCCCCTGGGCTCAAGCGATCCTCCCACCTCAGCTCCCTGGGTAGCTGGGATCACAGGTGCCCACCACCACACCCAGCTAATTAGCAGAAATGGAGTTTCACTATCACCATGTTGACCAGGCTGGTCTTGAACTCCTGGACTCAGGATGATCCGGCCCATTGGTCTCCCAAAGTGTTGGGATTACAGGTGTGAGCCCACTGCGCCTGCCGATGGTCTTTTTCTTTTTTTTTTTTTTTTTTGAGACGAGTCTTGCTCTGTTGCCCAGGCTGGAGTGCAGTGGCCGGATTCAGCTCATCACTGCAAGCTCCGCCTCCCGGGTCTACGCCATTCTCCTGCCTCAGCCTCCCAAGTAGCTGGGACTACAGGCGCCCGAAGGCCTCGCCCGGCTAGTTTTTTGTATTTTTAGTAGAGACAGGGAAGCCATCGTGTTAGCCAGGATGGTCTCGATCTCCTGACCTCGTGATTCACCCGCCTCGGTCTCCCAAAGTGCTGGGATTACAGGCTTGAGCCACCGCGCCCGGCCCGATGGTCTTTTCTTTATGCCTATGCACTCCTACTGTCTTCCTGTTCTTTTTTTTTTTCTGCTCTGTCACCCAGGCTAGAGTGCAATGGCATGATCTCAGCTTACTGCAACCTCTGCCTCCCGGGTTCAAGTGATTCTCCTGCCTCAGCCTCCCAAGTAGCTGGGAGATATATGCATACCACGGCTGGCTAATTTTTGTGTTTTTAGTAGAGACAGGGTTTCACCATGTTGGTCAGGCTGGTCTCGAATCCCTGACCTTATGATCCACCTGCCTTGGCTTCCCAAAGTGCTGGGATTACAGGCATGAGCCACTGCGCCCGGCCATCTTCCTGTTCTTATAAGGGCACCAGTCGATTGTGATCAGGGTCCGCCCTACACCCTATGACCTCATAGCTTTTCTTTTCTCCTTTTCTTTCTTTTCTCTCCTTCCTTCCCTCTTTTCCTCCCTCCCTTCCTTCCTTCCCGCTTCCTCCCTTTTCTTCTTCTTTCTCTTTTCCTCTTTTTTTTTTCTTTTTTCTTGCTTTTTTTTTTGTGTTGAGGTCCTGCTCTGCTGCCCAGGCTGCTGCAGCTCAACCTCCCAGGCTCAAGCGGGCCTCCTGCCTCAGCCTCCCAAGTAGCTGGGACTGCAGGCACACACCGCCATGCCCGGCTAATTTTAATGTTTTGTAGAGAGGGGTGATCTCCTGTGTTGCCCAGGCTGGTCTAAAACTCCTGGGCTCTGAGATCCCTGCCTTGGCCTCCCAAAGCGCTTGATTACAGGTAAGAGCCACCACGCCCAACCTGTTCCTCTTTTTCTAAGGACCCAGTGCTATCAGATCATCCTACCTTATTCACTCACATAACCTTCATTACCGTTCCAAAGGCCCCCATCTCCAAATATAATCGCATGGGTGGGGGTTGTGGCTCCCATATAGGAATTTGGGAGGAGCACAGCTCAGTCCGCAGAACACTCCATTGCCCCCATCCGTGGGTCCTGCTGTTCTATCTTTTTTTTTCTTTTTTTGAGATGGAGTCTCGCTCTGTTGCCCAGGCCAGAGTGCAATGGCACAATCTCGGCTCACTGCAAGCTCCGCCTCCCGGGTTCACGCCATTCTCCTGCCTCAGCCTTCCTGAGTAGCTGGGACTCCGCAGGTGCTCCCACACTACGCCCAGCTAAGTTTTTGTATTTTCAGTAGAGACGGGGTTTCACCGTGTTAGCCAGGATGGTCTCAATCTCCTGACCTCGTGATCCGCCCCCCTCGGCCTCCCAGAGTGCTGGGATTACAGGTGTGAGCCACTGCGCCCGGCCTTTTTTTTTTTTTTTTTTTTGAGACGGAGTCTCACTCTGTTGCCCAGGCTGTAGTGTAGTGGCGCATTTTGACTCACTGCAGCCCGCCTCCCAGGTTCAACTGATTCTCATGCCTCAGTCTCCTGGGTAGCTGGGATAACAGGTACCTGCCACCACACCTGGCTAATTTTTGTATTTTTGGTAGAGATGGGGTTTCACCGTGTTGGTCAGGCTGGTCTCAAACTCCTGACCTTGGGTGATCTACCCATCTTGGCCTCCCAGAGTGCTGGGATTACAGGCGTGAGCCACCACGCCCGGCCCTGTCTTCCTTCATCTTATTCTCCCTGCTCACTCCTGCTGGGTATACGTCTGCACACTTACCTGTTCGGCGGGGTGGCTCTGCTCTACCTAGGGGTGATAACTACAGCCAACTTGACGCTGCTGTAACCTCACACCAGTACTGCCCAGTAGAACATTTTGCCATGGAAATGCTCCACAATTTGTTCCTTCCAACTGCAGCCATGAACTATATGTGTGGCTACCGAGCACTCGACATGGTCATGTGCCCAAGAACTAGATTGAAGATTGTGTATGTATGTATTTTTTTGAGACAGAGTCTTGCTCTGTCGCCCAGGCTGGAGTGCAGTGGTGCGATCTCGGATCTCGGCTCACTGCAACCTCCACCTCCTTGGCCTGCGATTCCTCCCAAGGCCAGCCTTCCGAGTATCTGGGATTACAGGCACGCACTACCTGCCAGGCTAATTTTTGTATTTTCAGTAGAGACGGGGTTTTGCCATGTTGCCCAGGCTGGTCTTGAACTCTTGAGCTCAGGGGATCTGCCTGCTCGGCTCCCCCAAAGTGCTGGGATTACAGGCATGAACCGCCACGCCTGGCCCCTGAGCAGACTTTTCTTCCTCCCTGTTATCAATGCTCAGTGCTGGCTGCTACCCATCTCCGCATCCGCCCAGCTCTGTCTCCTGGCCTCCCTGCAGCCCACACACGACATTCACCCGGGAGTGGCAGGCATCCTCTGCTGCCTCTGTCACCTCCCACCCCAAGCAGTTTTGGAGCCATCCAGGTGGCTGTGGCCTGGGTCTTTCTTGGTTGTCCCTTGCCTCGCAGCCTCGCCTCTGCCTGTGTCCTAGGTGGCGAAAAGACTGTTTCTTAGGAGGTCGCTGATGCTTGAGTATGTGTTACTGAGGTGAACGGGCAGTTCTCATACTCCTATTCCTGACGGCTGTCGGGTAATGTGCACCTCCCAGCCGCAGAACTGACCACCATGATAAAGGAATCTGGGGGCCTTTCTTCTGGAACAGAGAGGCAAATAGACCCTAGGATTGTTTCCAGAAGACCAGCAGGCCTACCAAGGGGAGAGTGTGTGAGGACACCGTGCAGCCGTGGAACTGAGTATGGAAATGGAAAGACTGCCGGTGTGGTGACTTACGCCTGTAGTTCCAGCACTTTGGGAGGCCGAGGCGGGCGGATCATGTGAGGTCAGCAGCTTGAGACTCAGCCTGGCCAACATGGCCAAAACCCCGTCTCTACTAAAAATGCAAAAGTCAGCTGGGCATGGTGGCGCACACCTGTACTCTCAGCTACTCAGGAGGCTGAGGCAGGAGAACGCGCGAAGCCCAGGAGGCAGAGATTGCAGTGAGCAGAGATCATGACTGCAAAAGACTCGAAGGTCCTTTAGGGGATCTAGTGGGAACTCCAGTTCCTTTTAGGGGTGTACAAGGCCTTTGAGATTTGGCTAAACTGCCCAAAGGACGGGAAATGCAGGCACCAAGGTAGCCCGGGGACTTTGTTGATGATGAGAAATGCCTGGGACCATCCCCAATGGTTGCTACTGCGGATGGGATGGAATTCCCAGGCTGGCCCACTCATGTACATCTGTTTTATTTTTCTTTTCTTTTTTTTTTTTTTTTGAGACGGAGTCTCGCTCTGTCACCTGGCACGATGCAGTGGCCGGATCTCAGCTCACTGCAAGCTCTGCCTCCCGGGTTTACGCCATTCTCCTGCCTCAGCCTCCCGAGGAACTGGGACTACAGGCGCCGCCACCTCGCCTCTGCCTAGTTTTTGTATTTTTTTCAGTAGAGACGGGTTTCACCGTGGTTAGCTGTGATGGTCTTGATCTCCTGACCTCGTGATCCGCCCGCCTCCCAAAGTGCTGGGATTACAGGCTTGAGCCACCGCGCCAGCCTTATTTTTGCCTTTTAGGCAGGGTCTCGCTCTGTCACCCAGGCTGGAGTGCAGTGGCAGAATCTCAGCTCACCAACACTCCAAGCCTCAAGTGATCCTCCCACCTCAGTCCCCAATTACTCCTGGGACTACAGGCACCACCACGCGCTAATTTTTGCATCTTTTTTGTAGAGACAGGGTTTCCAGTATGTTACACAGGCTGGCCTTTGAACTCCTGGGCCTGGGCGATCCTCCCACCTCGGCTCCCCAGTGCGCTGGATTATAGGCCTGAGCCACCACACTCGGCCTCAGTGTGTCTTTTTTTTTTTTTTTTGAGACGGAGTCTCGCGCTGTTGCCCAGGCTGGAGTGCAGTGGCGCAATCTTGGCTCACTGTAAGCTCCGCCTCCCGGGTTCATGCTATTCTCCTGCCTCAGCCTCCTGAGTAGCTGGGACTACAGGCGCCTGCCACCACGCTTGCCTAATTTTTTTGTATTTTCGGTAGAGACGGGGAAGCCACCGTGTTAGCCAGGATGGCCTCAATCTCCTGACCTCGTGATCTGCCCACCTCGGCCTCCGAAAGTGCTGGGATCACAGGTGTGAGCCACCGCGCCCGGCCCCTCTCAGCGTGTATTTCTATAATGCGAGTTGGTTCATGCATGACTGACAAACGAGAGCGTGATGTCCTGTCCCTACAAGGAAGAGACTGCATCAGTCCACCTGTGTCTTTCTGGGACACGTGTTTTGTATCAGGAATGCAGCATATGCGGCAAAAGCCACCATAGATGGGTGTCAGCAGCTTCTTGCATTTGCCTTTTTTTTTTTTTTATTTTTTTTGCGAAGGAGCCTCCTGTGTCCCAGACTGTAGTGCAGTGGTACAATCCTTCAGCTCACTGCAACCTCCACCTTCCTGGGTCCAAGCAATTCTCTTCCTACCCAGCCACCTGAGCAGCTGGACTTGCAAGCACACCTGCCACCACGCCCGCTAGTTTTTGTATTTTTAGTAGGAGACGGGGTTTTGCCATTGTTGGCCAGGCAGGTCTCGAACTCTGACCTCGTGATCTGCCCTCCTCGGACTCCCAAAGCGCTGGGATTATAGGCATGAGCCACCGCACCCGGCTGGCTCTGTTGGTATTTCTATATGCATTCTTCGTATGGGCTGTCTCATTGCAAATTGCATGAGTGCATTTAAGAGATGGCCCCATCACTATTTTTTTTTTTTTCCATCAGCTGTGGTGAGTGGGTGCTTTTGTAGAACATGAAGTTTTTCTGGCCAGAAGCAGTAGCTGACGCTATAATCCCAGCACTTTGGGAGGCCAAGGTGGGCAGATCACTTGAGGACAGGAGTTCAAGACCAGCTTAACATGGCAAACCCTGTCTTCACTAAAAATACAAAAATTACCTGGGCATAGTGGTAATACACCTGTAATCCCAGCTACTGTGGAGCTTGAGGCGGAGAATTGCTTGAACCTGGGAGGTGAAGGTTGCAGTGAGCTGAGACTGCACCATTGCACTCCAGCCTGGGTAACAGAGCGAGGCTGTTTTCAAAAATAAGTAAATACATAAACAAACAAACAACAAAGAGGGCCAGGCACTGGTGGCTCACGCCCGTAATCCCAGCATTTTGGAAGGCTGAGGCGGGTGGATCACTTGAGGTCAGGAGTTAGAGCTCAGCCTGGCCAACATGGTGAAACTCCGTCATTAAAAATACAAAAATTAGCTGGGTGCGGTGGCTCACGCCTGTAATCCCAGCACTTTGGGCGGATCACGAGGTCAGGAGATCGAGACCATCCTGGCCAATACAGTGAAATCCTACTAAAAATACAAAAAAATTAGCCAGGCGTGGTGGTGGCACCTGTAGTCCCAGCTACTTGGGAGGCTGAGGCAGGAGAATGGCGTGAACCCGGGAGGGAGCTTGCAGTGAGCCGAGATCGCGCCACTGCACTCCAGCCTAGGCGACAGAGTGAGATTCCATCTCAAAACAAAACAAAACAAACAAACAAAAGAGCAGGGAGGAGGAGGTAACGATTGGTCAGCTGCTTAGCTGATCACAGGTTCATATTATTACTAACAGGCTTCAGATGTACCTAATCACAAGAAACATTTCAGCTAAGCAGCTGCCTCAGCATTTCTTCCAGGTGGCAGACGACTTTGTCAGTTTGCCAGCATTCTGCTTTTGTGGAGGACAGTGTGCTGTTTATCTACATAGCCTCCAGTGGTATACTGAAATGATCATGACCTCAATTTTTGGCCTCCAACAGAGGCAGGTGAGATGGAGGCTGAGCAGCCTCCGTCCAGTCTCCGCTGCAGGGAGCATGAACCTGCCCCCACTACAGGCACTTGGCCCTGAGTCCCACCCATGCTTGCCTAATGATGACTGGGCTGGGCGCAGGGCCTCAGCGGGGAGGAGGGAGGCCTAGGCCTCTCTCCAGCCCCCCAGGGCCATTGGGCACGCCTGTCCCCCACAGAACGCATGAGCTGCCACGTCCCAACAACGATGCTCCCTTTGAGGTGGCCAGATGTCCAGTATCAGATCTTGGGCGGCCGGACAGCAAACCAGATCATTTTCAGCCACAAAAATGGCTTGCGTCTTCTACATTTCATTGTGGATCCATACTACAGGTGAGCGGGTTTCCATCTAATTCCGACAACGGGACGCCTGATGCCCTGGGGGCAGGTCACCCATGTTTCGGGGACAAACCTGAATTTCCCAACGGCCCAGGCCCCCAGCACAAGTGATATTTAAGTTCTGGGTGACATTTGTTCCTGTGAAATACTCATTTCAGAGTCCTGCACTGGGTGCTGGGGGAACAGCAGTGACCAGAGGCCACACCGCTGCCCTGGCACATTCAGGAAGTCACCCTCTCCTACTCCCGTGGCTAGGTGTGCTGATGGCTGCGGGTCAGAGCTGGCTCAAACTGGCTCGCCAGGAGTAGACTCTCAAGTATTCAGGAATTCCAGCCTGACCTCAACATGGTGAAACCTCAGTCTCTACTAAAAATACAAAAATTAGCCAGGCGTGGTGGCAGGTGCCTTTAATCTCAGCTACTCAGGAGGCTGAGGCAGGAGAATCGTTTGAACCTGGGAGGCAGAGGTTGCAGTGAGCCGAGATTGCGCCTACTCACTGCCCCTCCAGCCTGGGTAACAGAGCGAGACTCCATCTCAAAAAAAAAAAAAAAAAAGTTCAGGAATCTTACACGGGTCAATTTCATGTCGGTGGTCAATCAGCCACAGGAAATATTTACACCTCAGGAACTGCAGACACTACCCAGGAGTGCTTTCCTCTGAGAGCCAGCTGTTAAATATTTAGCACTGAGGAAGCTGAGGAGATTATAAGCCACATCTGCCGCATGCCATAGGACGCCAGCTTGTCTCCTTTGGGAGGGGGATACCATGGCATCTTTCCCTCATATCTTCACCCCTGCTAGAAGTCATTGTCACTCATCACCTGCCTAATGAGGATCAAGGCGCAGGGCCCTCCCTGAGGATGAAAAGATGCCTTCCAGGCGTCTGCCGCTGGAAGAAATGCTGAGGGCAGCCATGACTCCAGGCACAAGTGTTTCTGTGATTACCAAAGTGCTGGGATTACAGGCTTGAGCCACTGCGCCCGGCCAGTCTTGAACTCTTGACCTCAAGTGATGTGCCCGTCTCGGCCTCCCAAAGTTCTGAGATTACAGGCATGAGCCACCGAGGCCAGCCCTATACACTTTTAAACTATCAGATATTGTGAGAATTCACTGACTATCACAAGAACACCAAGGGGGGAACTGTCTCCATGATCCAATCACCTCCCATCAGGTCCCTCCCCTGACATGTGAGGATTACAATTTAAGATGAGATTTGGGTGGGGACATAGAACCAAACCATATCAGATGGATAAATGGGTAGATAGATGAGTGGATAGATGGATGGAGAGATGGATGGATGGTTGGCTGGATGGGTGGGTGGATGGATGAATGGATGGATGGATGGGTGGGTGGGTGGATGGATGAGTGAATGGATGAATGGATGGGTGGGTGGATGGAATGGATAGATAGATAAATGGGTAGATAGATGAGTGGTTGGATAGAGAGATGGATGGGTGGATGGATGGATGGATGGGTGGGTGGATGGAATGGATGGATGGATAAATGGGTAGATAGATGAGTGGTTGGATAGAGGGATGGATGGGTGGATGGACGGATGGATAGATGGGTGGGTGGAATGAATGGATGGAAGGATGGATGAGATGGATGGATGGGTGGATGGATGGATGCATAAATGGATAGATGGATGAGTGAATGGATGGATGGATGGGTGGGTGGATAGAATGAATGGATAAATGGGTAGATGGATGAGTGGATGGGTAGAGAGATGGAAGGGTGGATGGGTTGATGGATAGACGAATGGGTGGGTGGAATGAATGGATGGATGAGATGGATGGATGGATGGATGAATGGATAAATGGGTGGAATGAATGGATGGATGAGATGGATTGACGTATGGATGGATGGATGGACGAATGGGTGGGTGGAATGAATGGATGGAAGGATGGATGAGATGGATGGATGGATGCATGGGTGATTGAATGGATGGATGAGATGGACTGATGTATGTATGGATGGATGGATGAATGGGTGGGTGGAATGAATGGATGGATGAGATGGATGGATGGATGGATGGATGAATGGGTGGGTGGAATGAATGGATGGATGAGATGGATGGATGGATGGATGAATGGATGTATGGGTGGAATGAATGGATGGATGAGATGGATTGATGTATGGATGGATGGATGGACGAATGGGTGGGTGGAATGAATGGATGGAAGGATGGATGAGATGGATGGGTGGATGGATGGATGGATGGGTGATTGAATGGATGAAAGGATGAACGAAATGCAGCCGTGTTGTTGACAAGGGTGCTGTTCTTTAATAACACAGGTTCCATTGCCTTGCAGCTTAAAGAGAGCCACCATGTCTACCTTAACTGTGGACATAGCAAACAAGGAAATTTCATGTGTGGATATCAAGCCACTGGTAGGTCCCAAATCTTGGCTGTCCCATATTCGGTGTCGTAAGTGTTAAGACGCATGGAAGCTGGCCCTGAGGTTGCAGTGAGCAGAGATAGTGCCACTGCACTCCAACCTGGGTGCAACAGAGCGAGACTCTGCCTCAAAAAATAAAAAGAATTAAAAATAAAAATAAACATTCATGGCATAAAAAAATGTATGGCTGCATGCTTCCACACAGATGAACCTCGAGGAGATCCCACAGGGTGAGAGAAGCCAGGCACGAAAGGACACATCCTGTGTGATTCCACTGTTAGGAGGTCCCTAGAGTCATCAGATTCATAGAGACAGAAAGTAGGATTGGGGGTGTCAGGGGCTGGGGAAGGGGGTGATCGAGGCAGTTGAATGCAGGCAGTCACCCTGTTGGCCACGCTGGTCTCGAACTTTTGATCTCGGGTGATCTGCCCGCCTCGGTCTCCCAAAGTGCTGGGATTACAGGCGTGAGCCACTGCACCTGGCCAATTTTTATATTTTTAGTAGAGATGGAGTTTCACCCATGTTGGTCAGGCTGGTCTTGAACTCCCTTTTTTTTTTTTTTTTTTTTTTTTTTGACATGGAGTCTTGCTCTGTCTCCCAGACTGGAGTACAGTGTCACGATCTCGGCTCACTATAACCTCCATCTCCCAGATTCAAGCAATTCTCCTAACTTCACCCTGCCGAGTAGCGGGGAGGTTTTTGTTGTATTTTTAGTAGAAATGGGGTTTCACCATAGTAGCCAGGCTGGTCTTGAACTCTTGACCTCAGGTGATGTGCCCGTCTCGGCCTCTGAGCCACCACACCCAGCTAATTTTTGTATTTTTAGAAGAAACTGTGTTTCACCATGTTAGCCAGGCTGGTCTCGAACTCCTGATCTTAAGTGATCTGCCCGCCTTGGCCTCTCAAATTGCTGGGATGACAGTCATGAGCCACTGTGCCCAACCTGGTCTTGAACTCTTGGTCTTGTGATCCTCCTGCCTCAGCCTCCCAAAGTGCTGGGATTACAGGCCTGAGCTCCTATACCTGACCAGTTTTTTTGTTTTTTTTGTTTTTTAAATGAATCTTGCATTCTGTTCTAAGGTAAATCCATGTTTGTCTTGCTTTTTGGTTTGCTTTGTTTATTTATTTATTTTTGAGACAGTTTCACTCTTGTTGCCCAGGCTGGAGTGCAGTGGCACGATCTCGGCTCACTGTAACCTCCACCTCCTGGGTTCAAGCAATTCTGCTTCAGCCTCCCAAGTAGCTGGGATTACAGGCAAGCCCCACCATGCCTGGCTAATTTTTTGTATTTTTAATAGAGCTGGGGTTTCACCACGTTGGCCAGGCTGGTCTTGAACTCCTGACCTCAGGCAATTTACCCGCCTTGGCCTCCCAAAGTGCTGGGATTACAGGTGTGAGCCACAGCGCCTGGCTGTTTTTTATTTTTAGATACAGGGTCTCACTCTGTCTCCCAGGCTGAAGCACAGTAACACAATCAAGGCTTACTGCAGCCTCAACCTTCTGGGCTCAAACGATGTTCTTGCCTCAGCCTCCCAAGTAGCTGGGATTACAGGCGTGCACCACCACGCCCGGCTAAGTTTTATTTTTCATAGAGACAAGGTGTCACTATGTTGCCCAGACTGGTCTCTAACTCCTGGCCTCAAGCAATCCTACTGCCTCAGCCTCTCAAAGTGCTGGGATTACAGGCGTGAGCCACTGCGCCTGGCCCGTGTTTGTCTTAATACAAAACAGCTTTCAAATACCAGAAGTCCTCTGGTCCTGTGGCTTTTAGACTCCATTGTATAACTCTGAGGGTGCCATGCAGCACTGCAGTTTGAGAAGCATGTCCCTAAGGCTGTAAAGTAACCCCCAATTGCTCTTTCTATCTTCTTTCTCCTTTTTGTTTATTCATTCCAGGCCATTGATTGATTGATTGATTCATTCATTCATTCATTCATTCATACATGCATGCATGCATTTTGTTTTCCCCATGCTCTCTGTGTACCAGGGATTTTGCTGGACTCATAAATTAGTTCTGGGCCTGGCACAGTGGCTCACATCTGTATTCCTAGCACTCTGGGAGGCTCAGGCAGGTGGATCACCTGAGGTCAAGAGTTGGAGACCAGCCTGGCCAACATGATGAAACCCCGTCTCTACTAAAAATACAACAATTAGCCAGGCATGGTGGCAGGCACCTGTAATCCCAGCTACTTGGGAAGCTGAGGCAGGAGAATCGATTGAACCCAGGGGGAGGATGTTGCAGTGAGCTGAGATTGGGCCACTGCACTCCAGCCTGGGTGACAGAGCAAAAACTCCGTCTTAAAAAAAAAATCAATTAATTAAAAGAAAAAGTTGGCCAGGCTCAGTGGCTCATGCCTGTAATCCCAGCACATTGGGAGGCCGAGACGGGGAGATCACGAGGTCAGGAGATCGAGACCATTCTGGCTAACACGGTGAAGCCCCGTCTCTACTAAAAAAAAATAAAAATAATAGCCGGGCATGGTGGCGGGCACCTGTAGTCCCAGATGCTTGGGAGGCTGAGGCAAGAGAATGGCATGAACCCAGGAGGCGGAGCTTGCAGTAAGCTGAGATCGCACCACTGCACTCCAGCCTGGGCGACAGAGTGAGACTCTGTCTCAAAAAAAAAAAAAAAAAAAGAAGAAAAAGAAAAAGTTAATTCTGGTCTCTGTGAAGCCACTAACAGCTCGTCAGGTGACACCGGGAGTTTAGTTAGCCCTACCCCAGGCTCTCAGAGCTTAAGCTCCGCGGGGCCAGCTGCAGTTACAGTGCATCCCAGGCATCCAGGGACACGCTATTGGAATCCAGGCCACATGGTTTCCAAACCGTTCCAATGGGAGTGTGTCCCTGTATAGGATTCACTGTGTCTGGGTGACCCTCACTGACCTGGGTCCACATTTCTGTCTCCTCTGCAGTCGACACTGATTTCAGTTGGCTGTGATCTGGATAAAAAGATCGTCATTCAGAAGTAAGTATGCTGAGGCCAGGTGCCGTGTCTCACGGCTGTGATCCCAGCACTTTGGGAGGCCGAGGTGGGCAGATCACTTGAGGTCAGGAGTTCAAGACCAGCCTGGCCAACATGGCGAAACCCCGTCTCTACTGAAAAAAAAAAAAAAAAATTATCGTGGTGGCAGGCCTGCAATCTCAGCTACTTGGGAGGCTGAGGCTGGAGGATCACTTGAACCTGGGAGGTGGAGGCTGCAGTGAGCTGAGATTGAGCCACTGCACTCTACACTCCAGCCTGGGTAACACAGTAAGACTCTTGTCTGGAAAAACAAACAAACAAACAAACAAACAAAAAGAAGTAAGTATGTTGCTATTGGAGTGGAGTGGGGAGAGGGGAGGAGGGGAGTTGTTGGGGCACCATTAGCCACATGGTAACAATTGCTGAGGTGGATGACTTTCGATTATTCTGTTTAGTTTTGTATGTATTTACTATTTCCATAATAAAAAGTTAAATGATTCACCCTAATAGGTTAACTTTGTTTCCAGCACATTGGACTCCCCTCTTTCACCTGTTGGTGATATCCACTTTTTTTTTGTTTTTTTTTTTGAGACCGAGTCTCGCCCTGTTGCCCAGGCTGGAGTACAGTGGCACGATCTCAGCTCACTGCAACCTCCGCTTCCCAGGTTCAAGCGATTCTCCTGCCTCAGCCTCCCTAGTAGCTGGGATTACAGGCAGCCATTATCACACCTGGCTAATTTTTGTATTTTTAGTAGAAACGGAGTTTCACCATGTTGGCCAGGCTGGTCTCAAACTCCTGACCTCAAGAGATTTGCCCGCCTCAGCCTCCCAAAGTGCTGGGATTACAGGCATGAGCCACCGCGCCTGGCCTAACACAATTTTTAAAATAAATTTTTTAAAAAGCCAGACCAGCTACACCTCTAATGGCAAAGTGCAGAGCCGTTTCCTGCCATGCCCCTCCCAGAGTTGGGGGTCTCTCGTTTTTTTGTTTGTTTGTTTGTTTTCCATATCTGCTCATTTGGCAACTGCTCATGCATTGGACAGAAAGGTGTGCCCTCCCTTTTTAATTTATTTTATTATTTTGTTTTTATTTTTATCAATTTATTTTTGAGACAGAGTCTTGCTCTGTCACCCAGGCTGGAGTGCAGTGGCGCGATCTCAGCTCACTGCAACCTCCACCTCCCAGGTTCAAGCGATTCTCCTGCCTCAGCCTCCCAAGAAGCTGCGATGAGAGGCACGTGATACCACGCCTGGCTAACTTTTTGTATTTTTTTTAATAGAGACAGGGTTTCTCCATATTGGCCAGGCTGGTCTCAAAACTCCTGACCTCAGGTGATCAGCCTGCCTCAGCCTCCCAAAGTGCTGGGCCTGAGCCACCACGCCCAGCCTCTCCCTTTCTGTCCCATCCATAATGATTTGGTTCCTTGTGGGGTCACACAATTGCTCAATGTCGTCTTTTGCTTGCAGCACAGTTTCTGCCTGTTCCGAGGGCATCCTGGATGCCTTGGCCCTGCAAGACAATTACAGCTTCATCATCGACAAGTAAGCCAGTGTCCCCCCGGCAACACCTGAAAACCCAAGGCAACAATCAGGCCTGCAAAAGCCAAGAGCAAATTAGGAATTGTATTTATTCATTCATTCATTCATTCATTCATTCATTCATTCATTCATTTATTTTAAGAGATAGGGTCTGGCCCTGTGGCCCAGGCTGGAGTGCAGCGGTGCGATGATAGCTCACTGCAGCCTCGACCTCCTGGGCTCAACTGATCCTCTTGCCTCAGCTGGCTGGTCCCACGTGCTGTCCCGCTCAGTGAGTGTGTGCTGCCACGCCGATACGAGAGTCTGGGCCTTAGTCAATTTGTGCTGCTTTGAAAGACTACCCCAGGCTGCGTGATTTATAAAGAAAAGAGTTATGGCCGGGTGTGGTGGCTCACGCCTGTAATTCCAGCACTTTGGGAGGCCGAGACGGGCAGATCACTTGAGCTCAGGAGTTCGAGACCAGCCTGGCCAACATGGCAAAACCTCATCTCTACTAAAAATACAAAAATTAGCCAGGCATGGTGGTGGGCGCCTGTAATGCCAGCTACTCGGGAGGCTGAGGCAGGAGAGTTGCTTGAAACCGGGAGGCAGAGGTTGCAGTGAGCAGAGATCGCACCACTGCACTCCAGCCTGGGCGACAGAGGGAGACTCTGTCTCAAAAAAAAAAAAAAAAGGAGGGGGCAGTGGGGAGGAGGCTAGGTGCAGTGGCTCACACCTGTAATTCCAGCATTTTGGGAGGCTGAGGCAGGAGAATTGCTTGAGGCCAGGAGTTTGAGACCAGCCTGGGCAACCTAGAGAAGAAAAAAAAAAAAATTAGGGTGGGGGGATGGTGGGAGAAGGTGCCAGGTTCTTTTATTTATTTATTTATTTTTTTTTTTTCCGAGACGGAGTCTCGCTCTGTCGCCCAGGCTGGAGTGCAGTGGCCGGATCTC